TTGTACTCGCTATAGAGTACCCCACTGCAGGCTAGAGCATAATATTCTGACACACCCCCATAGCCAAAGTGGGGTGTAATCAGCAGAGAAAGCAAAGCAGTACAAGCTCAGGGTGGATCACAATGTCACCACACATTCTGAGCACAAGTTTAAGAAGCAATAGTTTAAAGTGCACAATTATGAGCAAAGCTAGAGGCAGTTACAGAGGGCAAGTGAGGAGGAGGAGGGCTGGCGAGAGGAGAGAAGAGTGGAGGCGACGACTGAAGCTGCAGACACACGGGCAACAGACGGCTCTGGTGCAACTCTAGTGGCTACCGGGAGCAAGGGCCCCGGAATACAGGAGTAACAGGCTCTGCGTCTGATCAGCAGCGACAGGAGCAACGGACCCACGGGCGACAGGTGCAACCGGCTCTCTGAGCTACCGGTGGCTATCAGAACCCCGGAATACAGGCGCTGCAGACGACACGACGGCTGCCTCCACCCAACCTCCTCCAACTGTCCCACACCCCCCAACACACACCCCCTGCTGAAACCCTAGCTCCACTCCCATGGCACCCCCCTTAAACCCTAAACCCTCGGCTCCCACACACCCACCCCCCTGAGCAGCAGCTGCAGCAGTGGGAGACGGAGGAGGAGGAGGAGGAGCAGGGGACGGCTGACAGAGACGGCACCCCCATACGCTCCACCCCCAAACCCTAATTCAGGAGTACGGGCAGCAGCAGGGGTGGGGCGCCGTCAGAAGCGCGAGGGACGGCGTGCAGCTCAGTGGGAGAGGAGACCGGGCGCCCGCGGGCCAGGCGCAGCCCGTACGAACCGCGCGCAGGCGGCCCGAGGCGCGCGCGGGCCAGGCGCAGCCCGTACGGGCCGCGCGCGGGCCTGGCGCAGCCCGTACGAGCAGCGCGCGGGTTGTACGGGCCGCGCGCGGGCCTGGCGCAGCCCGTACGGGCCGCGCGCGTGCAGGACAGGCCGCGCGCGGGCCTGGCGCAGCCTGTACGGGCCGCGCTCGTGCAGTACGGGCCGCGCACGGGCGACGGGGGCGACGCGCGGGTCCCCGGGGGCGCTTCGGCGGGCGACGGGGGGAGAAAACCGCCGCGCGCCTCGGGGCGCACGGCGGGCAGAGAACCGCCGCGCGCCTCGGGGCGCACGGCGGGCAGAAAACCGCCGCACACCTCGGGGCGCACGGCGGGATGAAAAATCCGTCGCACGCCACGAGGCGTGCGACACACAGAGTAGCAGTAGCAGTAGCAGTAGCAGCGGAAGGCTTAGGTGGTGGGCCCACCCACAGGATCGACCCAGGAGGGTCGACCTGCTCTGATAGCATGTCAGAACTAGCTGTAGAAAGTAAGAATGAAGAAAGGAGGGTTTGCACTAGCAGCAGTTGGCATACATATAGGAAACCCTAATTGGGTTGTACTCGCTATAGAGTACCCCACTGCAGGCTAGAGCATAATATTCTGACATCGCACGCACAGAAAAGTTCGGCGTCCGCGATGACGGCCGTGCCTGCCGACTAATGCTAAGGAAGTGCATGGATCCTTATAAATGCTAAGGAAACGCATGGATCCCTATAGGCGTAGGGAAAAGCATCCAACAAACCAAATATTGTTGCATATTCCGGTGGCCCATGTTCAAATACACCTACCAGAGAAGCTTCAGATTGGTTCGCGCGCACAGAAACGTTTGGCGCCCGCGATGACGGATGTGTCTGACGACAAATGTGTCAAGATAGGTAGTAGAAAGTTTAGAGGCAGAAAGAGGAGTTGCACTAGCAAGCAGTTGAGTACATATAGGAACCCTAGATTGGGCTGTACTCGCTATAGAGTACCCCACTGCAGGCTAGACAAATACAACATTCTGACACACCCCCATAGTCAAAGTGGGGTATAATCAGCAGAGCAAGCAGTCATAGAGCAGATTCACAAGTGCATGCAAAGCTAGAGGCATTCACAAAGGGCAAGTGAGGAGGAGGAGGCGAGACTGTAGGTGGAGAGGAGATAAGAGGCGTCGGCTGAAGCTGCAGACACACGGGCAACAGGAGTCAAACTGGCTCAGTGGCTACCGGAACAAGCGCCCCGGACTACAGGAGTAACTGGCTCCGCGGCTAAGAAGAGCGGCAGACGAGCAACGGACCCACGGGCGACTGGCGCAGCTGGCTACGACTGGGCTACCGGAACAAGCGCCCCGGACTACAGGTGCTGCTGACGACAAGACGGCAGCCTCCGCTCAACCTCCCCCGACTGTCCCACCCCCCTCTCACACACCCCCTGCTGGAACCCTAGCTCCACTCCCACGGTACCCCCCCTTAAACCCCAAACCCTAGACTCCCACACACCACCCCCCTCAGCGGCAGCTGCAGTAGAGGGAGACTAGGGAGGAGGAGGAGTAGGTAGAGTAACGCACAACCGACACCCCCACAGCCGCCACCCCCACACTCCCCACCCCCAAACCCTAAAACGGGCGAAAGGGAGAAGGAGCGCGGGGGACGGCGAGGGGGAAGGCGCGCGACCCCCAGGGCGCCACCTCTGGGCAGCGGGGGCCGCGCGCGGCTCCCCAGGGCGCCTCGACGGGGCAGCGGGGGGCCGCGCGCGGCTCCCTAAGGCGTCGCGACGAGGCAGCGGGGGCCGCGCGCAGCTCCCCACGGCGTCGCGACGAGGTAGCGGGGGGCCGCGCGCGGCTCCCCAAGGTGTCGCGACGAGACGTCGGGGGCGACGCGCGGGGCTGCGGGGCGACGCGGGGGGTCGACGGCGACGGGGGGAGGGCGCTTCGACGGTGGGAAACCGCCGCGCGCCTCGGGGCGCACGGCGTGCAGAAAACCGCCGCGCGCCCCGAGCGCACGGCGGGATGAAAACCGCCGAAACCCTAGAAAAAATTCGCCGCGCGCTCCGCGCGCGGCAGGAAGAACAGCAGCGGAAGCATTAGGTGGTGGGCCCACCCACAGGATCGACCCAGGAGGGTCGACCTGCTCTGATAGCATGTCAAGATAGGTAGTAGAAAGTTTAGAGGCAGAAAGAGGAGTTGCACTAGCAAGCAGTTGAGTACATATAGGAACCCTAGATTGGGCTGTACTCGCTATAGAGTACCCCACTGCAGGCTAGACAAATACAACATTCTGACAAAATGCTAAGGAAGCACGCGTATCTTCATAGATATAAGGAAAAGCATCCAACGACCCGAATATTGTTGCATATTCGGGTGGCCCATGTTCAATTACATGTACCAGAGCAACTTTAGCTTGGTTTGCGTGCATAGAAAAGTTCGGGGCTCTCAATGACGACCATGCCTGCCCATAAATGCTAAGGAAGCGCATGGATCCCTATAGGCGTAGGGAAAAGCATCAAACGACCCAAATATTGTTGCATATTCGGATGACCCATGTTCAAATACACCTATCAGAGCAATTTCAGCTTAGTTCGCACGCACATGAAAGTTTGGCGCCCGTGATGACGGCCGTGCATGCCGATAAATGCTGAGGAAGCGCATGGATCCCTATAGGCGTAGGGAAAAGCATCGAACGATACCGAATATTGCTGCATATTCCGGTGGCCCATGTTCACATACACCTACTAGAGCAACTTCAGCTTGGTTCGCCCGCACAGAAAATTTCGCCGCCCGCGATGACGGTCGTGCGTGCCAACAAATGCAAAGGAAGCGCATGGATCCCTATAGGCGTAGGGAAAAGCATCGAACGACCCAAATATTGTTGCATATTCGGGTGGCCCATGTTCAAATGCGCACAGACCGTGCCTGCCCACAAATGCTAAGGAAGCGCATGAATCCCTATAGGCGTAGGGAAAAGCATCAAACGACCCAAATATTGTTGCATATTCAGATGGCCCATGTTCAAATACATCTATCAGAGCAACTTCAGATTAGTTCGCACGTACAGAAAAGTTCGGCGCCCGCGATGATGGCTCTACCTGCCGACAAATGCTAAGGAAGCGCATGGATCCCTATAGGCGTAAGTAAAAGCATCGAACGACCCAAATATTGTTGCATATTCGGGTGGCTCATTTTCAAATACACCTATCAGATCAACTTATCATTAAAAAAACCATTCTTTGGCCTGGTTGCTTATCAATTTTGTTAAACGACCCTCAGTGTACATTGGTTTCGTGTTGCTTGGATTGATTGGATATTGTACCATGTCATACCTACTAGAGGTTATCAGGGTGATTTGATCAGCTTCCAAAATACGGTCAGGAAACTAGAAACCACATTCCTTGCCCGCAGCTGTTGCACACACCGCAAGCGTGCCAGGAAGATTACAAAAGTGAAGGATTTCAAATCCGATCTTTTTCTTTGGCGCGTGGGAAAGGATCGCAATGTATCCCATTCTACCTAGCCGAAACGCTGAAAAACACAATCCATCGCACTTTACTGACCTTTGCAACAGACGCCCTTCTGACATTTCTGTCCTGTCACCCTAGCCAGCCAAAAAAGCGCCAACAATTCGAGAGAAAGCCAAAGAAGTCCTGAACCCAATCCGTTCGTCCGCCGCACTCTTTCACCAAAAAGCGGATGCCAGTCATCGTCGTTTGTCGTCATCGCCAGAATTTCTGTCAACGTCTCGCCCGGACCGGACCAGCGAACACACCCCTCGGCAGGTTCGAGGGAACACAGAGGCGGTGTTCTGCAGCTGTTTTGATCCTCCCCCCCCTCCCCTGCAGTCGTTCAGAAAATTCCTGTTTCTGCGATACGACCGTTGGTGCTGCTTCTGCTGCTCCAGGAGGTTGAGTGACATTCTTCAGGAAGAAAGAGCTTATGATTTCCTCACTTGTGTTAGACATGTCCTCCTCGTTGAGCTTCTTCCACGCAAAGCTTTCTGCTTATACGGCCTCGCAGGAATGTACTGCTGGGATTGAACTTAGCGTGTCGCGTCGCACGTGGTGCAAAGCGTGCGTTGATATACATAAACCGCGACTCGGCATGCTTCGTCCTCGCGTTCACCTTTCTTCGCGTCGGCGTGTCATTCATTCGTAACCTTTTCTCCAATTATGACCATGTGCTCTGACTCGCTTGACTGTCTCCTTGGCTTCGGTTCAGACATGTTCTCTTCGCCAACCGAACAATTTTCCCCGCTCGTCGCCTCTCTCCTTGACGAAATAATAATCGCGGTGCTTCTTACCGCAGATGGCGGATTCCGCGTGGCGCAGTGCAGCTCCGCGTTAGTGAATTTCTTAGGTCTTAGGTCTTCGGAGGACGTATTAAGGAGACCAATCAAGGAGCTTGTTCACGCGGAGGACGTGGATGCACTCGAGGTGGGTTTATTTAACCTCCTGCTATCCGCAAGTGCGATAATTGCGGCGGAAAGTACAGCGTGCGTGCATTTTAAAATTTCTCCGAGATACTTTGTCCGTGCTACAAAATCGTGTATTTTTCCCCGCTGTATTCGCTTTCCCTGCTCTCCATGTTGTATGGTTCCCGTCGCGACAGGCGCTCCTTGCAAATTACGTCAGCTCCAAACCCCAAGGGCCCTGCGACAAACGACTGGACGTGCGACTGTCGCCAAGCGTTGACGAAAGCGATGCGTCAAGCCGGCGACGAACCTCAGGAACCGCTGGCGGCTGCAGCTGGTTTGAAGTCGCAGTATCCCTAGCTAACCCTCTAGGTAGCGAATCTAACCGTCAAACCCTAGACGACAGACACGTGTCGCACGATCGATGCTGTATAGAGCACTGTCAGGATGGACGGGAGCCAGAGGTATCAGATCAAGGGTTTCCAAATGCAGGAGCGAACCGCGATCCGCTGCTTCTTTGCGTGTTCTATGACGTGTCGGCGCGGCGCGGGAGCGCGGAGTACATAGTTCGCCAGCTGCAGGAGTGCGTGCAGCTCGCTAAGAGCGCGCCGCCCCCTCGGAAGGGCGCTGAGGCGGACCAAGGGGATGGCGCGCCGGTAGACGCGACGCGGGAAGGCACAGGAGAAGGCGCGTTAGCGGAGCTGGGGGAGGAATTTAAGGGAGCGGATGCAAAAAGCGAGTCTGGAATTGGAAGAGACAGGGCAGTCGCAGCGGGGGGAGAAACGGTAGGAGCAGGAGGAGGAGCAGCAGGAGGAGCAGCAGGAGGAGCAGCACACCGGTGGAATTGAGACGGCAGCAGGCGGCGAAAGTGGGAGAGGCGGGGGAACAGAGGACCCTGTGGGGGAGGGGGAGAATGGTGGCGCAGCTTCGAAAGAAACCCGCAGGGGGGAGGAGGGTGATGGAAGAGGGGGAGAGACAGATGGACGCGGGGGAAGACAGGGGGAAGAGGGGAGAGAGGAGGGAGGTGAAGAAATGAAAGAGGACAAAGGGAAAGGGGAGGTAGGCTTGTGGAAGGATGATGACGCGGCGACGAGTGGAGTGGTGAGGGAGATATCGGCGCTGATCGACCAGGTCAAGACGCTGCTGGTTCACAGCCGCAAGAACTCCCGATTCCAGGCCATCTTTGAAATGTCCCTGGTGAGCTTTCACCTGTGTACGTCTCAGGGTATGAGTCTATCAACGTTGATCCCCGGTTGAAGGCGATATATTTGGGGATTAATCTAACCATCACCTGACCGCAGGCTGAAGGCAATGTCAATTCTCACTCCCGAAACTTGAACCCCTTCAAACCCCCCCAGTCCTGCCCCCACCCTCCCCCCCCGCCATCTCCGAACCCACTAACCCCGTTCGCCACCCACCAGGACCCGGTGTTCGCGGTATCCCAGGAGTTCAAGCTAGTGGACTGCAACGAGGCGGCGGTGCGATACATGAAGTACCTTTCAGTGTAACACATGTGCGCATGTCAAGATTCAACCCCTGAACCATTTTCTCCCCTCCTTATCACCAGGACCCAGTGTTCACGGTATCCCAGGAGTTCAAGCTGGTGGACTGCAACGAGGCGGCGGTGCGATACATGAAGTACCGCGACCGCGAGGAGATGCTGCAGCGCTTCGACCTCATGAAGCTCTCCCCCGAGTTCCAGCCCGACGGCCGCCGCTCCATCGACGTGCAGATGGAGAACCATGCGCGCATGCTGCGAGGCGAGGTGGTGATATTCGAGTGGCAGACGCTGGCGTCCGATGGCGAGCCGTTCATGGTGCTTGTTACTGTCAGGGTAAGCTCTCTTTTTCCTCCCATTTTTTTTCCAGATTGATAATAATAAATAACAAGAGTAATAATTGGTTAATCCTGAAGCTGCAATTTTGTTTTCTCCTCTCGTAATTTCCGTCATCCCAACACTCCCGCTCTTACAAACGCACTGACAGGAGATAGTGATTGACGGGGAGAAGCACCTGCTGTCCATCTGGCATGACCTGTCTGAGATGAAGCGCAAGGAGGAGGAGCTCAAGGCGGCGAAAGAAGCAGCAGAAGCGGCAAATGAAGCCAAGAACCGGTTCCTGGCGAACATGAGCCATGAGCTGCGCACCCCCATGAATGGCGTCATCGGCGTCGCCGAGCTGCTCCTCCGCACGCCCCTCACGGACGAGCAGCGCATGTACCTCGACGTCATCTGCTCCTCCGGCAACGCGCTCATGCATATCATATCCGATGTCCTCGATATCACCAAAATCGAGACGCATTCTCTGGTGGTAGACGCATACCCGTTTGATCTGCACGCGACGATAGAGCAGGCGTTGAGTGCGATAAGGGTTGCGGCGAATAGCAAGGGACTGGGGCTGCATGTGAGCGTGTGCGAGCAGCTGCCTGTGATGGTGATAGGGGATCAGTTCCGCGTGAGGCAGATTCTCCTCAACCTGCTCTCCAACGCCATCAAGTTCACTGACAGGTGTGCGCTCCCACTGGTGTGCTGCTGGGAACAAGTGGCGAGAGGAGCTGGCAAGGAGTTGGCAAGGAGCTGGCAAGGCCTGTGCGTTTTTGTGCCGGGTCTTGAGTCGACGCTTAACTCCCCACGAGTGCTGGTGGGGAGTTTGTAATAGGCTGCGTTGTGTGCTCGTATGGATGCAACAGTGGGTCTCTGCGAGTCATTGAGTGCATTTCTTATGATTATCTGTTACGTACGCTCTCCCTTGCTTCCTTCCCCTTTCGTCCCCCTCCCCCCGCACTCTGGCAGGGGCGAGGTGAGGGTGACAGTGTCTCTTTGCGACCCACCGCCACAAGGTTAGCGCAACAGTGCTGCTGAAACTTCGTGTTCAAAGTGTTTTATTACAGCTGTTCCTTCCTACCCTAAACTCCGTTTTCCGCACCTGCTTACCTTGCTCTCTTGTTCACTCTCTTCCTTTTCCGTGTCTCGTCACCCCTCTTTTCCTTCCCTCCCTCCCTCCCTCCCTCCCTCCCTCCCTCCCTCCCTCCCTCCCTCCCTCCCTCCCTCCCTCCCTCCCTCCCTCCCTCCCTCCCTCCCTCCCTCCCTACCCCCTGTTTCCCTTCCCCTGTGCCCACCGCTGTTGTGCCATCAGATGAGAGCACGAGGCAAGGGGTGCCAAGGGAGGGGCAGCTGGGCAAGCGGATACTGGACGACGCGCATGGCCATGGAAGCTTTGCAGAGAAAGAAACGGACGGGCTTGAGAACGAAGGGCAGTGCAATGAAGGGGAGGGCAATGAAGGTGGGAAGCAGGCGAAGGGGGAGCAGGCGAGCGAGGAGCAGGCGCCCTCATACCAAACTGGTACGTCTCATCTCCTTTCCTTCCCCACCTCGTTGCGTCAGTGGCCCTTCCCTTCTCCCACCTTGTCAGGCGTCGTTAGTTTGCGCTGCACCTTTTGTCAGTTTTGGTCGCCTATCCAAGTGTCGTGTATCAGTGAAAGGTGGCTCCTGCAGCGGTCAATCTGTGGTTGCTGCTGTTTCTGCTGCTGGTGGTGGTGGTGGTGGTGGTTTGATGCCGATGCTAACGTTTGTACCCATGCCTGTGCTGTGCTGTCGTGTGTGATGACCTTTCAGTAAACATCCATGCTGCCACCCACTCTACCGCTGACGCTGATGCTGCTGCTGCTTCTGCCCCAGGGGGTACTGCTACCAACACAGCTGCTGCTGCTGCTTCTGCTGGCTATGCCGGTGCTCCAGTGGAGTTGGCTCATGAGACTGCTGGGAGCGGTGAAGACATGGGAGACCGTGTGGCTGGAGCAGACATGATTACTCCATGTGCGGGAGAAGCAGATGCAATAGAAGCAGCTGCAGTAGAAGCAGACACAATAGAAGCAGACCTGATAGAAGCAGGTGCGCTAGAAACAGCAGCAGAGGAGAAGGTGTGGGTGCGGATAGATGTGAGCGATACAGGCGTGGGCATCTCAGGGGAGGCGATGGCGCGGCTGTTCACGCCGTTCCGGCAGGTGGACGACTCGTCGTGCCGCAAGCACGGCGGCACAGGCCTGGGTCTCTCCATCTGTCGCTCGCTCGCAACGCTCATGGGGGGATGCATCTCCGTCGCCTCCTCCCCCCGCCACGGCTCCACCTTCTCCCTCTCCCTCCCTTTCATCCGCTCCCGCACGTGGGACGTGCATGTGAGGAGGGAAGAGAGGGGGGGTGCCATGTGGTGCGGGGCCTGGGAGGAAGGGCTGGGGCGGGAGACGCAGGGGGTGGGACATGGGGAGTTAGGGCATGGGGAAGGGCAGAAGACGGGTGGAAGGAACGGGGTTACTGCAGCGTCGGTTGCAGCCGCAGAGGCAGCAGCAGCCGCTGCTGCAGCTGTAGCAGGAATAGGTGGAACGGAAGCAGGAGGTGCAGTGCCGTGGCCACAACAGAGTGAGGTTGCAGGGGGGGGGATGGGGGAAGGGAGGGGGAGCGGGGTGAGGGAGGGAGGGGTAGGAAGGGAGCGAGAGGAAGGAGATGAATTGGATGAGGCCTTGAGGCATTTCCGAACTGCTGCCTCTGCCTCACCGCTCCACCAAGCCTCTGCCGTACCTCATCACCGAGCCTCTCCCTTGCCTCATCGCCAAACCTCCCCCTCACCTCCGCCTGTGGTTCGATACCCAAGTCCCTTATCCTGCCTGCCTCCCTTCTGGCACGTGCAACAGCAACAGCAAGTGGAGGAGGAGATGGGGCAGCAGCAGGAACAGCAGCAGCAGCAGCAGCAGCGGCAGCGGCAGCGGCAGTTGGAGGAGGAAAGTGAGCAACAGGGAGGAATGCAGGGAGAGGACGAGCGGGGCGGAGAACAAGAGCGGTTGGGTAGTGGAAAAGGTTTTGCAAGTGCAGGAGACGGCCTTCGGATTTCGGAAGACAGGGAAGAAGGTACAGCGACGGAAGAAGGGAGGGGGAGGTGGTGGGGTGGAGAAGGGGACAAGGGGCGGGAATATGCCCCTGGGGAAAGCTTGGGGAGTTTAGAGGGAGGGATCAATGAAAGGAGGACTGAGAGGGGAGGACGTGAAGCTGAAGAGGATAAGAAGAGGTTTGAAGGAGCTTTGGAGGTGGGAGCAGGGATGGACATGAGAGGAGAGGGGAATGCGAATATGGAGACACGGGGCAATAGGGTGGGAGGAGGGTCCGCGATGGAATGGGGATGTAGTTTGGATGCTCCAACAGTGTTAGAAGCTGGAGAAGCATCTGCCGGAGATGCAGCAGCAACAGCAGCAGCAGCAGCAGCATCGGGGGGAGCAGCAGGAGGAGTGGCAGGAGCAGGAGCACCGGCAGCAGCAGGCGAGGTGGTGGCAGTGAGTGCCGGGAGAAGAGGTGGTGGAGTGCGGTTGAAGAGACCAAGGGAAGGGCGGCAATTTGAGAAGGTACGGGAGGAAGGAGAGTCAAAGGGGGGAAGAGAAAGGATGCATAAAGAGGAGGATGAGGAGGGTGGTGAGGATGAGAGCACTGGCAGTGACGAGGAGGGTGAGGAGCGGGACGAGGGGCAGGACGAGGAGAACCTAAGGTTTGCCTTGAACTCTAGACCAGGCCGGGAGCGGGCTTGTGGAGTAAAGGGAAGTGTTCAAGGCACTTTGTCCCAAGGCACAACACAGGGGAAAGGGGGGATGAACGGAGCGGCAGTGAGGGGCGGCAGGAAGGCAGGGGACTCAGGGGCGGCAGGGGGAGCAGGGGCGGCAGGGGGAGCAGGGGCGGCAGGGGGAGCAGGGGCGGCAGGGGCGGCAGGGGGAGCAGGGGCGGCAGGGGCGGCAGGGGGAGCAGGGGAAGGCAGAGAAGAGCGGGAGGAAGGGGGGTTTGCGGGGCTGCGGTGCCTGGTGGTGGAGGACAACGCGGTGAATCGCATGGTGGTGGTGAGGCTGCTGAGGAGCCTCAAGGTGGCGTGCGATGTGGCTGAGGATGGGCACAAGGCCGTGCAGGCATGTGCGCGGTGCTGCTACGACATCATATTTATGGTGCGTGCCTTGCTGCTTTCCAGTCATGGAGAGTCGTGTCAAGACTCCTCCTTTGCTCTGTTTCTTTCTCTCTTTCTTTTCTCTTGTTCTTCTTTTTTTCTTTTCTCCCAGAGGAATATGGAAGACTTGTGTTTGTTGCAACCTGCTTATCTCCCTTGTCATTGGCAGGACTGCCACATGCCAGTCATGGACGGGTTTGAAGCCACAGAAAGGATACGCGAGCTGCAAACAGAAGCAGAAAATGGTGGTGGTGGTGGTGATGGGGAGAGATCAATGCCTGATGCAGCGGATGCAAACCAGCAGCAGCAGCAGCAGCAGCAGCAGCAGCAGCAGTACCAGGAGAATCAGCAGCAGCGGCATCAGGAAGAGCACGAGGACCAGGAAGCAGCAAGAGAACCGAAAGGGCAACTGGGCATGCGTTTGGAAGGGGAGCAGGAATCAAAGCAGGAGAAACCGCAGCATCAGAGGAAGAGGTCGGTCATATATGCGTTGACAGCAAGCGTGTTGAAGCACGAGAGAGACAAGTGTGTGAGTGTAGGAATGGATGGCTTCCTTGCCAAGCCGATAAGGCTCAAAGACCTCCAGCAGGTGCTTGGTCAGTTGATGCTAGAAATCAAAGAGAAGAAAGCTGAAGGCTCACTGAAGGCAGGCCCCCAATCTAATGATGTCTAAACCTTGTTTTGCTACTTCAATGTTCAACTAAGCGATTGCATGTGTGTAGCAGATGGGAATTTACACAACAATGGCGAGGCGAGAGGATATCGGCAAAGTTCCATAGCATCGAAGGTTGGGTGCTGCGGTTCAGGTTGGGATGGGAAGGGCACGCGCACACGTCAGTGGTCGGCAAACCCATCCAGTGGTGGAAATGTTTCTGGTTTGTTAGCCAGGTACAACTGGTGTGTAACGTACGCGCACGATTGGATTGTGCAAATCTAAACAATCTGATTGTGGGGAAGATTGCAACACGACTGTACACATTTCTGTGGTTTCCAGCTCGCGCGTGGCCAGCCATTTCACAGCGTTTCATTGTCGGTAGTTCTTGTCCGTGTCTTTGGCCTCCCAGGATTCCCATCGTTGCCAGCACTTCGTCAACCACACCAGCACCTCCACCGTTGCCCCACTGTTTTTCCACTTCACTCTAGATTCTGTGCGCTCTTTCTTCTGCGTTTGTCTACTTTTAAAAATTTCTTCTTCAAAACTGAGCTTATTGTTGAACACAATTTCACTTATTCGTTGTTATTCTACTTATTCATAACAGGGTCGAACATGGAGATGGGAAAAGTTTTAGACCAAGGTCACACAGATGAGCATGACCGTACCCGATCTGATGGTCTTGCGTGGTTGACAGGATCCGCGGACACAGCCACACCCTGGAAATTGCTTTGCGGCAAGGATGATTCATTCCCCACCACTGTGCTGTCCCTGAGGCCCAGGGATTACCCTTGTCTTCACGAACATAATCGCAAACAACACTCGCAGGTTGTCATGATGAGATATGGAGCGCTGTGACCCTCTCTTCCGTCTGGTGCTTGCTTTCTGTGAAAAACCCCGACGTTTGTTTGAGCTACCCTCCATCAATGGGCTCTCTCAAACGTTTTTCGAGACCCCATAGACGCGACAGGCATGCTGTCCTTCCCTCTCGCGTGCCTGTTTCGCCACGTCACATTTGCGAGGCACGTGATTGCGACCTCCCGCCTCCCCTTCGTCTCCTAGTCTTGTGCACACAACTTATTCGAAACCGCATCTCGCCACATTAAATCACATCCAACCATTGTCTACCGTACCAGAGCATCAGAAACGCATGGCAGACCCACCCAAATTTGTTCACCAGGTTCATTGCTTATCAACTGCTGCTTCACATGGCTCCTCGGTTTCGAGGGTCTCTTGCAGCAACCTTTCTGTTCATCGAGGGACTAATGCGTGCAGAGCAGACTTCGGCCAAACGCGATTAGACTGTTGGTGTTCTCCAAAAGCCTTCGATTCTGTTTTAGATCAGGCTTGTTGGAGCTTTTGGAAGGAAATGTATCATTAGGCTTCTGAAACTTGCTTGCGTCATTAGCGGGAAGCTTCTGTGACAAACCATGCGCTTTCGTTTCCAGGTTCTGGAACTTACGTCCACTAGCTTACGCGGCGCTTTTTATTAGCTCAGCGATGCAGGTGCAAAGTTACACAATTAGTCCACGTATGTCGAACAAGCTCTCATATTTTATTTATGGTTAATCCGCTAGGCTCTTAAATAGCTACGGATAGTCACATGCGTCTACGGATCCGTGGTTGCTTTCGACCAGAAGTTCCAAGTAGTGATAACGCACCCTATTAGCACATCTCGCACAGCACGCCTCGCATAGAGCATTAGAAGAAGAAAATGCGTACGAACGCGCCTCCCCACCACTGCCATTTTCTCGGTCCGATGCTTCTAGATGTTATTCCTGCGGCTCTTTTCACCTGCGAAGATGGTTTCCGCATCGCGCACTGCAGGTACATCAACCCTGTTCAATATTTTACAAATCTTGACGTGTCGCTATCGTTCAAGGGTCCCTCGCTGGTTCGGTGTCGCGTTCCTTGTTTCTTGTTCTCGTCGCAAACGTTAGTACGAAAAACCCTCGGTCCGATGCGTGTGCAGCCATGCGTTGATGAGGATTCTCGGAGAGAAGCCTGACGTTATTGTAGGGAAGCGGATAGCCGACCTTCTACAGTCAGAAGATGCAAGAGCCGTTGAGGTCCGTCCATCTCTCCCTCTCTCGTTCTCCTCCGCACCCATCCTCCTCTCTGTCTCTTTTTCGCTCTCCCTGATTACTGCTGTCAGCATAATTGCACACGTAATCCCTCTCCCACACGACCTCACGGTTGATTCCATGTAATTTCAGGCACAAGCATGATTCGCACTTGGGTCCTTAGCCTCCTAACACTCAGTATCGCTTTTTATATCCTCCCCGCCGTCTGTCCAGCCAATCATGGCCGAATTCGCTCGAGCCAGTTCACCCGCTCAGCGGAAACGTCTCGACGTGCGACTGCGAGTCAACGACGAACGACACTGCGACAAAACCGTCGCGAACGCGAACGCGAATAGCTCGCAGGCTTCGCGTTGGGCATGGTTCGAGATGTCGCTCGTGACGAGAGTCGTCGCCGGCGATCCGTTTCGCAGAGCAGGCGACTGTCGCAGCAAGGAAGGCGATGCTCGCGACAGAGCAGGTCTGCTGACGGAGCACGCAGAACGGCCGGCTGCATCCTCCGCTGCAGAGGTCCCAGACGGCAGCAGCGGTAGCGGCGGTAGCGGCGAGGGAGCGACGGCACGGCCGCAGGCGAAAGCGTGCATTCTCGCGACGTTCCACGAGATCTCCGCGCGGCGAGCGAGCATGGTGAGACTTAGCACCGCGCGCGTTGCTTCTTGCGCTGCGCGTTGCGAAAGCAACCGCCGTGAATGACGGCTTCCACCCACGGTCGTGACCATGGATGACGGACCCCCGCTTTGTGCTTGCACCCGCCTTGTCCGCTCGCTGCCCGCTCGTTCTCTCACCCGCTTCCCTCACTCTTCGTCCGTCTTCGCTGTCTCCACCGTGACGCCTCCTCCCACTCTCGCCCTCCGCGCCCTGCGCAGGACGTGCTGGTGCGCGAGCTGCGGCGGACGGCCGACATGGCCGTGCGCGTGGCGGGCGGAGGAGACGGCGACGCGCCGCACAGCCCTCGCGGCGACGACCGACAGACGCGGCGACAGCCCGCTGACGCCGCGCACAGCCCCCGTCGCAGCGACGACCTGCGGAACCCTAGCGCTGTCGTTGATGGCTCGCAGAGAGAGAGCGGTGGTGCCGCGCGCAGCCCCCCTGATTCCCTCGCCGTGGGCGGATCTTACGCTGACAGGTCATACGACGCTGGGGGGAACGCTGCCCACGCTGCGACTGCTGACGAGGGGTTGATGGGTGAGGGGTTGAGGGCAAGAGGAGGGCCTGACGACAGGGAGAATGGGGCCGGGAAAGAGCAGGGAAGGGGCGAGCAGGAGAGGAGAGGGGAGGAGGGAAGTGGGAGCAAGCGGAGTGTTGAGGAGCAGAGAGGGAATGATACGAGAGGGGAGGAGTCGAGAGGGGACGAGACGAGGGGGGATGGGGCGATGGGGGAGGACGAGGCGAGGGATCCAGTGGCGAAGGCGATGGCGGTGTTGGGGAGGGTGAAGGAGCTGGTGAAGGCGAGCCAGAAGAACTCCGTCTTCCGCACCATCTTCGAGATGTCCCTTGTCAGTGCCCTCCCTGCCCTCCCTGCCCTCCCTGCCCTCCCTGCCCTCCCTGCTGCGTGCTCCTCCCGTGGCCCTTCTCTTAGTCCTCCATTCGTTGTTCCCTTAGCTGTTCTTCTCTCTGGCATCTCTGCAGCATCCAGCACCGTACCAGATTGGAAGTCACACAATTACCCTTTCCGTCTCCACTCTTCTTCATTCCCTTCACACCCCGTCTTCCCATCTCCCCTTCCCTGCTTCTCCCCACCTCTCCATCTCCCTGCCTCCTACTCAACCGTGCCCCCCTCACCCTACCAGGATCCCATGTTCATAGTATCCCGTGAGTTCCGCATAATGGACTGCAACGACGCAGCCGTGCGCCACATGCGCTTCTCCTCCAAGGCCGAGGCCATCGCCCGCTTCGACGCCGTCAACGGCGCGCCCGAGTTCCAAGCTGACGGCCGCCGCTCCGCTGACGTGGCAGCCGCCAACGTGCCGCGCATGCTGCGCGGCGAGACGGTCGTCATGGAGTGGCGACACCTGGCAGCGGACGGCACGCCGTTCGACGTGCTGTTGAATGTGCGGGAGATCGTGGTGGACGGGCAGCGATGCATGCTGTCAGTGTGGCACGACCTGTCTGAGATGAAGCGCAAGGAGGAGGAGCTCAAGGCGGCCAAGGAGGCGGCAGAAGCGGCAAACGAAGCGAAGAACCGGTTCCTGGCGAACATGAGCCATGAGCTGCGCACCCCCATGAATGGCGTCATCGGCGTCGCCGAGCTGCTCCTCCGCACGCCCCTCACGGACGAGCAGCGCATGTACCTCGACGTCATCTGCTCCTCCGGCAACGCGCTCACCCACATCATCTCAGACGTTCTTGATATCACCAAGATTGAATCGCACTCTCTCGCGCTCGAATCCTACCCGTTCGACCTTCGGGAAACAGTAGTGGATTCTCTAGATGCGGTGAGATCTGCTGCGAGCAGGAAGGGTTTGCAGGTGACGAGCAGCGTGTGTGAGCAGCTTCCAGAGGCGGTGATAGGGGACCAGTTCCGCGTGCGGCAGATTGTGCTCAACCTGCTGTCGAATGCCATTAAGTTCACTGATGCTGGCACTGTGGGGATTGCCGTTACCACCAGTGCGGAGCGGCCAGTGCTGCAGCAGGGGAAAATGGAGGGGGGATGTGCAGGGTGGGTGTGCGGTGGTGGATGGGAGCGAGAGGAGGTGCGGGAGTTGGAGAAGAGTGACGGTGGGGTTCTAGGCAAGAGGGTGAGGGAGGATGAAATTGTGGGTCTACTAGAAGCTGGGCCAGAGGCTAAAGAGTCTTCAGCAGTTTCCTTGAGCTCTGCAAAGCGGCTTCGCACGGATCAGTTGGGAGGGGAGGCGGGCGATGAGCAACAGCAGCAGGCGCAGCAGCAGGAGGGGACTGTTGTGAGGGCAGCAGGAGAAGGCAGTGCGGCGTCAGCAGCAGCGCCAGTGTGGGTGCGGATAGACGTTACAGACACGGGCGTGGGCATCTCAGGGGAGGCGATGGCGCGGCTGTTCACGCCGTTCCGGCAGGTGGACGACTCGTCGTGCCGCAAGCACGGCGGCACGGGCCTGGGTCTCTCCATCTGTCGCTCGCTCGCGGCGCTCATGGGGGGATGCATCTCCGTCGCCTCCTCCCCCCGCCACGGCTCCACCTTCTCCGTGTGCCTTCCGCTGCAACCCACCAGGCAGTGCCCCTCTCGCCCACACTACGTCTCAAATCGAATGCCCTCAACTTCAGCTGCAGCCACTGCTGCCGCCGCCACCGCCGCCGCTGCTGCCTCTGCTGCCGCTGCAGCGTCAACTAGCAAGGCAGCAGCAGCGCCAGCAGCTACAGCAGCAGCAGCAGCAGCTGACGCGAGTGCAAAGAGTGGCGGCGCCGCTCTTGCTGCGTGGCCATTTGAAAGCTACCTGAACTCGGAGCTGGGTCCTGTGGTGGCTGAGCTTGACTTGAGTGACGCCAGACTCAAACAGCTGGAAGGCCGAGGGCAGGGGGTCCGGGGACGGGACGAGGCAGCAGCAGTGGCAGTAGGAGCTGGAGCACCAGGTGCAGCAGGAGCTGGGTCAGTGAATGAGGTGGGGGAGGGGAAAGCAGGGGGCACGCGGGATGAGGGTTGTTTGAGGAAGTTGCCTTTGACTAATTGTTCGTCTGTTTCTGTCGGGAGTCCCAAAGCGAGCGGGGATGGAAGGAGTGGAGGCAAGCGTGTGGTGCGTGGTGGTGTTGGTGGTGGTGCTGCTGCTACTGCTGCTGGCAGTGGCGGGGAGGGAGGGCCGTTCGCGGGGCTGCGGTGCCTGGTGGTGGAGGACAACGCGGTGAATCGCATGGTGGTGGTGCAGCTGCTGAGGAACCTGCGAGTCTCGTGTGACGTGGCAGAGAATGGGCACAAGGCCGTGGAGGCCTGCCGCTCCACCAACTACCACGTCATCTTCATGGTCAGTCCACCAACTGCCACGTCATCTTCATGGTCAGTCCGTGCTCTTGTCTGGTTCTTCTCTTTATCACTTATCCACTTTCTTTCTTCGTTATTATTTTTACTTTTATTGTTTGTATTTTTAATTTGGTTTTTATTTTTTTCCCTCACCTTTTAGCCGCCTCTCCTTCCGATCACGTCACCTGCAGGACTGCCACATGCCAGTCATGGACGGGTTTGAAGCCACCACCCGCATTCGCAGCCTTCAGGGTTTTGATTCCCCTTCAAATGGACAGCCTGGTTGCTGTTCTGCTGATGTGAGGAAGGGGCAACAGCAGCAGCGGTGCTCAACAGATTGCCATCAGCAGGCGCTGCAGCGGTCTGTTATTTATGCATTAACTGCGAGCGTCTTGAAGCATGAGAGGGACAAGTGCGCACTCGTGGGGATGGATGGGTTCCTGGCGAAGCCGATACGCATGAAAGACCTGCAGCAGGTGCTGAGCCAAGTGCTGGCTAAGCCTCAGGTAAAAACAAGCAGTGCAGCTTGCCACCATGGGCAAGCAGTAATGGTTCCCATGAACCATCCAATGTAGATTAACAACTAATTTTATCAATTCACTTATATATACACCTTTCAGTCTTATTCTAGAATTCATGAGGCTCTACGTCACATGCAAAGTGCTGATTGGATAGACTCTCTGACGGGTGAAGTTTCCTACTTGGCTTCGTTGTCGTTTGTGCTGCTGGATAGCTTTCTTCGTCATCTAGTGGCCAGTGGTCCAGGGGACTCTCGAGTTTGGATTGCGTACAGAACTGTGGAACATCGGCGGAATGGAAAGGCGGAGGAGAAGCAATGCTGGCAAGCACAAGTGCCAGCGCAGCACACTTGGGAGAAGGCTGCCAATAATGAACCTTCTTCCCCCCGTCTTCCTACCCCACGCCCCCCGACAAACACGTTCGACCCGCCCCTGAACCAAACATTCGCACCCACACCCACCCACCAGATTTGGCCAAACACCTAGCACCGCCACCAGTCAGCTTCTCGTCGTTTCTTCACAAGTGCGACACTCGAGTCTTGTTCGGTTACGTCAGCTGCGCGATTTACAGCGATGAAATCTCGTAGTGTGGGCATACCTTTCGTTGAGGGTTCATACGACGCGGTTCGATGCGGTCAGCCACAGTTGGGAACGGTTGGCAGTTTTTACCGTTTAATACCGTCGCGTACCATAACAAACCTCTCAAATTCAATTGCCAATGACTACGGTCCTGCTAATATCCATTCCGTCAGCACTCCCAAGAGCATTTTGTGTTGTGAATCGTGATTTTGTGAGCATGTCGGCTTTACTGACGCAAGAACCGCAAACTAGGTCACTTAACACGTCTATCTTGCACGTCTAGCTGACGTCTCCCATGGTAACGTTACCACGTTCGCACGACATTAACTACGTCTTTCGCGAATCATGTCGCTAGGAGCCGTAGCCGGTTTCGCAACTGACGCCAGCAAGCACAGTGTTCCGAGCGAAGCGCGTCTCAATCTGCGACCCGAATATTGTCGACTCGCTCTCGCCGATCCCTCTACTTCAGCAGTTTCGCTCCTTAATCTCGTTCTCGCGGCGGTCCCTGCCGCTCTCATTTCTCCCGCGAGAGACTTTCGCATCGTGCAATGCAGGTACACGCGAAAGTCACTCATCTTTCAACTACAGGATCGAATCCGCGTCACGCTCTCGGCGGTTTTTTTTTTTTTTTTTTTTTTTTTTTTTTTTTCGCAAACGGCCTGACAGGCCTCGCGACAGGAGACCTCACGCATCCCTCTCCCGGCCTTTCTCGTCCCAATATGCTACCTTCCCCTGACTTCCTTCTTTCATCCTCCCCACGCTCCCCCCTTCCCCGGCTTCCCCCTCTTCCAATCTCCCCTCCCTCCCCCTTCGTGTTGACGCGTCTTCGCCGCATGTGCGCAGCGCCGCTCTCCTTCACGCCGTTGCCGGCGATGCGAACCTGCTGGTGACGGCCGACCGGCAGACGCGGCAAGAGTCTGCAGGGTGGCCGGCAGTGACCGTCAAGCTACCTCAGCAGGGGGAGGCGAGGGAAAGTGAGGAGGACGGGAGGGTTGCGCAAGGGAACCTTCTAGGAAGGTCGCTGCTGGAGCTGATCCATCAGGATGACGTCAGGAAAGTCAAGGTATGGCGGTTGAGGCGTGAAGGTAAATGTAGGTATGAGAGCCGATAGCATTAAGACCGTAGCATTAAGAGCGTAGCATTAAGAGCGTAGCATTAAGACCGTAGCATTAAGACCGTAGCATTAAGACCGTAGCTTTTATTAGCGTGAAGGTATAACAGTTGAGCTAGTCAATTCAGAAGTCACCTAATTACATCAGGAACGTAAGTGTTGTCAGGAAAATGTAGGTATGAGCGGAGAGTAAGGGTGTGACAGCAGGGGTTTGAAGGCGTGTGCGTACTGCCGCTTGAAAGCATGACTCTACGTGCGCTGCTTTTGTCTGCTGCTTTGTGTTGTGTACTTGCAGCACGCGCTCTCACACCCAACCGCAACAGCAGCAGGAGCAGGATCAGGAGCAGGAAGAGGAGCAGTCAGAGCAGCACGGCCTGTGGACCTGCGGTTGATGCAGGCTGCAGGGGGGAGGGGTGACGTGGTACCAGCAGCAGCAACGCAAGCAGCAGATGCACGGAGTGGAACCGGCAACCACTGCAACAGCAGAATAGGCAGCAGCAGCGGTGGTTTCAGATGGTACGAGATGCGCGTGTGGCACGTTAATGGCGCTGCTGCTGCGCTGTTGCATCCCGCACAGGCGATGGGCGTGCAGGGGGAAGAGGGTAGGGTGAGAGGAGGGGAGGAGGATGGCGCAAGGTGGGCGGAAGGAGCGGAGAGGGGGAGGGGAAGAGCAGTAGAAGGCATGAAAGGGTCGGCTCCGATTTGTGATGCATGTGCATGCACTCATGGTTTCATCGAGTACCATGATGCATGTACATCCGACCATGGATTGATGCAGCACCATCATGCAAGTGCATGTGCACGTGGTGGTGACGCCTGGCTGCTCTGTCTCTTCTACGATATCACTGCGAGAAAAACCTACGAGGTACGCCGCACCGCTCTCCATAGTTTTGTTTCTCCACTCTGTCTCAGCTTGCATCTCTCTCCACCACTCTCTGCCACTCTGCACCCCTCTGCATCCCTCGTCACCCCTCTCCACCCCTCCAGGCGCAGCTGCTGCAGCACGCCACGGCGTGTGCGGAGCTAGCAACCAACCTGGCGCAGGTGAAGCCCCCCGACCCCGTCTCATGGGGGGACGCTGTCGAGCGCCACTACGGCACCCGGCCCCCGCCCTCTCCGCATGCGCCCCCGCCCCATGCGCCCCCTGCTGCTGCTGCTGGTGCTGACCCGTCACATCCGCCTGCTTCTGCTGCTGCTGCTGCTGCCGTGCACCATACCGCTACTACCACTGCCACTGTCGCTCACAATCCTGCTGCCACCCCTCTCAATGCTGCCAGCGCCCACCCCTACCCCAGCAGAACCCCGCACCCCAGCCACCCAAGCCACCCCAGCCACACTGCCCCCACCGCCCACACCGCCCCCGCTCCTTCGCCTGTCAAGCTTCAACCCCAGCAGCGGCGCAGGAGGAGGGGGAGGCGGCGCACACACGCAGTGGGGCGGCGGGCTGACGGCTATCCCGACCACTTCTGGCCCTCCTACCCCCCTGACGAGACTCCCCCCCCGCCCATGCCTGGTTTGGGCGCGGGTGGGGGGATAGAGGGAGAGGAGGGGGAGGGGTGGGAGGAGGTGGAGGAAGGGGAGGAAGGGGAGGAAGGGGAGGAGGGAGAGGAGGAGAGTGCGTTGGAGGCAGCTGTGAGGGTGGTAGAGGAGACTAGGGCGACGCTTGTGGAGTGCCAAGGCCACGCCAAGTTCCATGCCATCTACCAGCTCTCCATGGTGGGTAGCTGTGCGTTCCCCCTTACGACCTCTCCATTCATTCCATTTGCCCCCCTGACCCACCCTCTTGGCTCGCCACGCCAAGTTTCACGCCATCTATCAGCTCTCCATGGTGTGCCCTCCCCAACACCACCTTTCGATGGCGCCACTACCCTGCATGCACTGCCCTGCATGCACTGCCCTGCATGCTCTGCCCTGCATGCACTGCCCAGCTCACCGCAATGCCCTCCATGTGCCTTCCTCTTTCCCCTACCCGCACCCACAACCGCCTCCCTTCCTTTCACCAGGAGCCCATTCTGGTCTTCTCCAGCAGCATGGCGCTCATCGAATGCAACGACGCGGCTGTACGGTTGATGCGATTCCGCAGCCGAGCAGACGCCCTGGCCAACTTCCGAGTGGCCAAGATGAGCCCCGAGTTCCAGCCTGATGGGAGAAGGTCAAGGGAGGCGATATTGGGGATGCACGGAAGGATGATGAGTGGCGAGGTGGTGGATTTTGAGTGGTGTCATCTTACAGCTGATGGGCATCCTATCATGGTGCAGGTGGGTGGATGGATGGCTGGTGTTGTGTGCAGGCAGCGCAATTCGCTGTACAAGTAGGTAGTATGACATGAGGGGCCCTTGAGGGGCCTATGAGGGGCCCTTGAGGAGCAGACGCCCTGGCCAACTTCCGAGTGGCCAAGATGAGCCCTGAGTTCCAGCCTGATGGGCGGCGATCACGAGAGGCCATTCTGGGCATGCATGGGCGGATGATGAGTGGCGAGGCGGTGGAGTTTGAGTGGTGCCACCTCACTGCTGACGGCCGCCCCATCATGCTGCAGGTGGGTGGGTGGGTGGCTGCTCAATGGACGGCGTATGATGGTGCATGCACGCAGTGACATGCAGAGCAAAGGGGAAACTCCTTACTGCGATTAGCAAATTAATGCAAAAGTCTTTTGTCACCCACCCACCCACCCATCAACTGCAGGTGAAGGTGAAGATCATCGAAATCGGTGGCGAGTCGTGTCTGCTAGCCGTGTGGCACGACCTAACCGAGTCCAAGCAACCTTTGAGTCGACCCAAATTCTCTGTATGCTTGCATATGTTCTACTTCGCCCCACCAACTGCAGGTGAAGGTGAAGATAATAGAAATCGGCGGCGAGTCCTGCCTGCTAGCCGTATGGCACGATCTAACCGAGTCCAAGCGCAAGGAGGACGAACTCCGAGCGGCCAAAGACGCGGCCGAAGCAGCGAGCGAATAGCAAGCTCATCTAATCTGATTCTTGACTCTCCGTGCATGTACATCGATGCATGCTCGTGCTCTTCTTCGTTCCATGCACCCGCAGGTGAAGGTGAAGATCATAGAGATTGGAGGCGAGTCGTGCCTCTTAGCCGTGTGGCACGACCTCACCGAATCCAAGCGCAAGGAGGAGGAGCTGCGAGCAGCCAAAGACGCGGCCGAGGCAGCGAGCGAAGCCAAGAACCGGTTCCTGGCGAACATGAGCCATGAGCTGCGCACCCCCATGAATGGCGTCATCGGCGTCGCCGAGCTGCTCCTCCGTACGCCCCTCACCCCGCAGCAGCGCTCCTACGTTGATGTCATCTGCTCCTCCGGCACGGCGCTCATCCATATCATATCGGATGTGCTGGATATCACCAAGATTGAGGCGCATGCACTCGTGTTGGACCGGAATCCATTTGATCTACGGAGGACGCTGTCGCAGTGCCTTGCTGTTGTGCGCACCGCTGCTGACGGCAAGGGGCTCAAGGTAGGTTGATGGAATCATGGAAAGGTAGGAAGCGGTGCAGTGCGGTGGAGATGCTTGCGCATGCGCTGGTGCTGGACCGTGACCCGTTTGATCTACGGAGGATGCTGACGCAGTGTCTTGCTGTTGTGCGCACTGCTGCTGACGGCAAGGGGCTCAAGGTGGGTTGTGTGAAGGGTGGGATGCGGTGCAGTGCGGTCAGTTCTTCTCAGCTGGTTGGATGCTTGAGCTTATGTGCTGCTTTGCTGCGGTAACGACACTGCTGCTGGCGGCAAGGGGCTCTGGTGGGTTGGCGGAAGGATGGGAGGCGGTGCAGTGCGGTGAAGGTGCTTGTATGCATTCTGAATCCTCCATCTTATCAACTCTTTCTCTCTTCTACCCCCCTCCTCCTCGCTTCCCCCCTTGACTTTCTCACAGCTGCACAGTCGTGTGGGAGAAGGCGTGCCAGCGTGTGTGTTGGGAGATCAGTTCCGAGTGCGCCAGATTCTCCTCAACCTGCTCTCCAACGCCATCAAGTTCACCGACAGGTGTGTGCTGTCAGTGCTGCGTGGAGTGTGGTTGATGGGTGTGGCGCGCGGTTACAGGGAGTGTGGTAGGTGAGTGAGTGCGCGGTTGCAGGAAAGGTCCCAGATCCTGCTCAACGTGCTCTCCAACGCCATCAAGTTCACTGACAGCCGTGTGTGCTGTGCTCTCAGTGCCGTGTGTTGTGGATGGGTGTGAATGCGCGGTTGGAGGGAGAGTGAGAGTGTGGGTGCGTATGTGTGTGGTGGGTGAGTGAGTGCGGGCTGGTGTGTGGGTGGTGGGTGAGTGTCGGTGGGTGTGGGTGGCGGGTGACTGAGTGTGAGTGGGTATGTGTGCGGTGGTGGCATGTGAGTGAGTGTGAGTGGGTATGTGTGTGGTAGTGTTGGGTGAGTGAGACGTCTGCAGCAGTGCAAAGCCCTAATTCGCTCTCTAACTGCTTCTTCCCTCTTCTTCCCCTTCCTGCGTGCCCCTTGCAGGGGAGAGGTGGAGGTGCAAGTATATCTGCAGAGCAAGCCACACTGCAAGCCACACTGCAAGCCACACTGCACGCCACACGTGCCCTCAGCACTGCCAGCCACCGAAGCTCCTTCTGCTCCTTCTGCTCCTTCTGCTCCTTCTGCTCCTTCTGCTCATCCAGCTCAAGCTACTCACTGCTCTGCTGCTACTCGTACCGTCGCTGCTACTCACACTGCCGCTGCTACTCCCAACCCTGCTGCTGCAAGCTTTGTTGAACCTCATTCAGAAAAGGGAGAGTCAAATAGCACACACGCACTCGAAGCACATTCGATAGAAGCTCATTCGGTAGAGGCACATTCACCAGATACACAGCTTCTGATCGACGAATCCGGGCCGTCCAGAGCTGACCCTGAGATCACCAATGGCCCTCTCACTGTCTCCGCTGCCACGGCTACTGCGTTGTCGGAAGGCGCACACACAGAGGCACAAGAAGAGGCAGCAGCACAAGCAGCAGCGTTAGCAGCAGCACAAGCAGCAGCACCGGCAGCAGCAGCGTCCCGCACCCTTCCGCACCCTCCGCTTCCCGGGTCGACGTTTGAGCCAGCTCAGAAGCCGTTTGCAGCGCCGCACACCCCGCCCCTGCACCCTCCCACAACACCCCCCATCAGCACGTCTCACTCGGCCACCCACCTGAGCGCCCTTGCTGGGGAAGGCGCGTGTGAGGGGTCGCACGCGGCTCTGCAGGTGGCGTCGGTGGTTAAGGCTCCTCCTGCAAAACGGGCTCGCATGGGCGGGTGCCATGGGGATGGGGGGCGTGGGTTGAGTGCTGGGGGTAGGGGAGGGCGCGGGGGGCATGAGGGGGAAGGGGGAAAGGGAGAGCAGGGTGGGGGAGGGGGAGGGGCAGGGGGGGAAGGAGGAGGAGCCGGCAGAGAGAGTGGGGTGCGTCATGCACGCCAAGCCTCGTGGAATGCGCCTGGAGCTGTGCTGGCTCGGGCCGATGCTGCTGCCGATGCTGCCGTGGTGGTTGGGGGTGCTGTTTTGACTGGCTTGGATGGTGGGGTGGGGGTGAGTGAGGGGGATGGGCTGGCTGGAGGGGCAGCTAAAATATTAGGGGTGAGCATGGTCTATCCTGAAAAGGCAGTCGAAACAGGAACAAGGGAAGCAGGAGCAACGGATGTAGCAACAGCGGCAGCAGTTGCAGCGGCAGCAGCAACAGGAGAAGTGAGCAGGATGGCAACACAAGGGGCAGAGAGGATAGAATCTGAGAAAGTGGGTACGAGGCAGAAGGACATGCAAGGGCAAGAGGAGGGGGAAGATCCGGCTAGAGCAACTGCCACAGGAGCATGCTCGTTAGCAGGAGGAGAAGCCCCCCTTGATGCATCGCAACAAAACCTTGTTCTCCCTTTTGGACCTTGTTCAGAACAGCAGCCAGTACATATGCAGCCTGCTTCTGAAGAGATGCAAGCAAAGAGAGGAGCGGAGGAGGAACAACCCGGAGAGGCGGGTGAAGCGGGTGAGGTGGTGTGGGTGCGGATAGATGTGAGGGACACGGGCGTGGGAATACTGGAGGATCAGCTGGCGCGGCTGTTCACGCCGTTCCGGCAGGTGGACGACTCGTCGTGCCGCAAGCACGGCGGCACGGGCCTGGGTCTCTCCATCTGTCGCTCGCTCGCCGCGCTCATGGGGGGATGCATCTCCGTCGCCTCCTCCCCCCGCCACGGCTCCACCTTCTCCCTCTCCCTGCCCTTCACTCCTTCCTCTGCTCCTCCTGCGTGCAGCGGGCAGGAGGCGGATTTGAAGGTTGTAGGGAGTGCGTCTTTGCCTGATGTGGTGGCGATGCCTCTACTGCCTGCTGATGACCCTTTGGTGCAGCAGCAGCAGAGGCAGAAGGAGGAGCGGCAGAGGCAGGAGCAGCAGAGGCAAGAGGTGGAGCAGGAGGAGGAGGAAGAGGAGGATGGGGAGTGGGAGGAGGGGCAGGAGGAGGAAGAAGGGTATTCTACAGGTGGTGGGGGGTGTGGGTGTAAGAGAGGGAGCAGGAGTGCGACGGGTACAAGGGGACAAGGGAAGGTGGAAGAAGAGGAGGGGAGTGGAGGCGATGGTGTAAAAGCAGGTGGAGGAGGAGGGGGTGAGGTGCAAGAGGGGGATACCGCGGAGAAAGCGAGAGAGGGATGCCCCAGGTGCAGACGAGGTCGCTTGAGTGCGAGACAGGAGGTGACGAGAAGCAGACAGGTGCAGAGCAGAAGCAGAGGGTCCAGGGACTCACCTGGTGTTTCTGGTGCTGCCGGTGGTGCTGGTGCTGCTGCTGCTGCTGCTGGTGGGAGTGGCAGTGGCGGGGAGGGAGGCCCGTTCGCGGGGCTGCGGTGCCTGGTGGTGGAGGACAATGCGGTGAATCGCATGGTGGTGGTGCAGCTGCTGAGGAACCTGCGAGTCTCGTGTGACGTGGCAGAGAATGGGCACAAGGCCGTGGAGGCCTGCCGCTCCACCAACTACCACGTCATCTTCATGGTCAGTCCACCAACTGCCACGTCATCTTCATGGTCAGTCCACCAACTGCCACGTCATCTTCATGGTCAGTCCACCAACTGCCACGTCATCTTCATGGTCAGTCCACCAACTGCCACGTCATCTTCATGGTCAGTCCACCAACTGCCACGTCATCTTCATGGTCAGTCCACCAACTGCCACGTCATCTTCATGGTCAGTCCACCAACTGCCACGTCATCTTCATGGTCAGTCCACCAACTGCCACGTCATCTTCATGGTCAGTCCACCAACTGCCACGTCATCTTCATGGTCAGTCCACCAACTGCCACGTCATCTTCATGGTCAGTCCACCAACTGCCACGTCATCTTCATGGTCAGTCCACCAACTGCCACGTCATCTTCATGGTCAGTCCACCAACTGCCACGTCATCTTCATGGTCAGTCCACCAACTGCCACGTCATCTTCATGGTCAGTCCACCAACTGCCACGTCATCTTCATGGTCAGTCCATTAACTGCCATGTCATCTTCATGGTCAGTCCTTGCTGCTCCCTTTTGCTTCTTCTCTTTGCTTGCCTATCCACCAACTACCACATCATCCCCCTCTGACACGTGCGTGCTTGCTCCTACAGGACTGTCAGATGCCAGTGATGGACGGCTTTGAAGCCACCACACACATCCGACGGTTGCAAGCCACCCTTCACCCCGCTGAAGCGGGAGCGGTGGGAGAAGCGAATGCCAGTGAAGCAGTACAAGCAGGGAGGGACGCACAGGGGGTGTGCGATGGACAGGTTGACACAAGGCTGCCTTCCCAGCAGCAACAGTCTGGTTCAAAAGCGCAGCAGCGGTCGGCTATTTATGCGTTGACAGCGAGTGTGTTGAAGCATGAGAGGGACAAGTGTGCGCGTGCAGGGATGGATGGGTTCCTTGCCAAGCCGATTCGCATGAGAGACCTGCAGCAGGTGCTTCAGGAGGTGGTGAATGGACACGCGTAGCTGCTTCCTGGTCTGGTGACAAAAACCTGAGCAGCTCACCTTGTTATGTCAAAATGCGCACAAAGGTTTGATGTGTGTTTCTATGCGTTGATTGCTCTAATGTACTCCTGGCACCAAGCTGCTTACACTGTTATGTGTAGTTTCCAATAGGTAGTTCCAAGGTAGTGTTGGAGATCGGAAATTCACAGGTCAGACTCAGTGGCACTGTGTATGCTAGGTATGTATAAAGCTACAATCAAGTACCTGTATCACTAATGCTGCCATACCATGTCAGCAACAGGCAAACTAAATATCATAACCAAAAACCCGAATCCCTCTTCCCCGCTCTCCCCTCCTCCCCTTCCCCATCCTCATCCCCATCCCCACCCCAGCAGCCCCTCATTTCGCCTCCTCCTGCGCAGCAATGCTCTGTCGGCTCTCCTTGACGTCCCCAAACAGGCGGCGTCGGAAATCCTCGACCATGAGGGGCAGGCCCTGGCGCAGAGCGACCTTGGGCTCCCAGCCCAGCAGCTCCTTGGCGCGCGTGATGTCAGGCTTGCGCTTGTGCGGGTCGTCTGCTGTGTTCTCCTGAAAGGTTATGCTCGCTGTCTTGTCTATCACCTCCCGCACCACCTGGTCAGAGGGAGGTGGGTGAGAGAAGGGGAGAACAGCGGGAAAGCGAAATGGACGAGTGACAGAGAACGGAGTGAGAGTGGGGCCCAAGGTAAGACCACTGGGGTTTCCTGAAAGGCTCGCTATGTTTTCTCACTCCACTGGGAAAGGGGGAGAGGTGAGGGAGTGGGGAGAGGGGTGCTGGTGGGCCCACCTTAGTCACTTATAACATGGTATTTACTCAGAACTCTCAGAAAACACCTGATTGAGCGGATCCATACGCTCACCTCAGCCAGTTCAAGCATGGTGAACTCCCGGGGTTGCCAAGGTTGAAGACGTGCTCCCCGTCCATGAGCCTCATGAGCCCCTCCACCAGGTCGTCTATGCACTGGAAGGAGCTTGGCGAGTGCGCTCACCTCAACTAGTTGGAGAGCGCAGTGACTCATGAGAATTGTGAGGGAAACCATGCGCTCACTCACCTCAGCCAGTTCAAGCATGGTGAATTCTCCAGGATTCCCGAGGTTGAAGGGCCCCACGTGCTCCCCATCCATGAGCCTCATGAGCCCCTCCACCAGGTCGTCTATGTACTGGAAGGAGCGCGTCTGCTTTCCATCGCCATACACCGTCATCGCCTCCTTGCGCAGCGCCTGGCAGGTGGGAGGAAAGAGGGGAGAAAAGCGCAGGGGCATAGAGGCAGAGTCGGTTGATAAAGGCACTCACAGGTGCATAAGACCCTCCACACAACACCAACTGTACTCCCACTCATCCACCATACCCTCACGAAGCCACCTATCCACCCATCACACACCTGAGCAACAAAGTTGCTGACAACGCGGCCATCATCAATGCACATGCGTGGGCCGGACGTGTTGAAGATGCGCGCAATGCACACATCCACCATCAACTGTGCTCCCACCCACCCACCATACCGCCACTGAACCACCGATAACACCCTTTCTACCCACCTGAGCGACGAAGTTGCTGACGACGCGCCCGTCATCGATGCACATGCGCGGGCCATACGTGTTGAAGATACGCGCAATGCGCACATCCACGCCCGCCCCTCGGTGGTAGTCCATGGTCAGCGTCTCCGCCACTCGCTTGCCCTCGTCGTAGCAGCTGCGCACCCCTGCACGTATGGGAGGAAGGCAGGGTGGACAGGAGAGAACAGAAAGGGGGGTTGACCGTTGAAGATACGGGCAATGCGCACATCCACGCCCGGCCCACGGTGGTAGTCCATGGTCAGCGTCTCCGCCACTCGCTTGCCCTCATCATAGCAGCTGCGCACCCCTGCATGCATGCATGGGCCGACAGGTGCGGGAGCAGAGCAGGGAATGGGGATGGTGGGTGGGAGAGGGGGAACGGGAGTTGTGGGATGGAAGAAGGGTGGGGGAGGGGAGGGGGGGAAGAGGGAATGGAGGGAAATTGGTGGATGAGATGACAATGTGGTAGCCCATTGGGAGCGCTGATGGGAGTGTGGATGGGTGAAGGAGCACCAGGGGAGTGACAGAAAGCGGAAAACGGGAACATGGACAGGTGGATTCACAGACACGGATGTGATACACACCGGGACTCATAACTGTCATAAGCCACTCAACAACCACTGAGCCTCTTCAGGTACCAGCACTCACCGATGGGGCCCACGTTCCCCCAGTACTCCTCGGTGTGAGGGTGCTCCAGCGGGTCCCCATACACCTCGCTCGTGCTGGTCAGCAGGGAGCTTTCCAAGTCGGACTCACAACACCAATGGCCTTTTGAGCCGACCCAAAACTCACCGATGGGGTTGACGTTCCCCCAGTACTCCTCCGTCTGCGGGTGCTCCAACGGATCCCCATACACCTCGCTGGTGCTCGTCAGCAGGAACCTCGCCCCCACTCGCTTCGCCAGCCCCAGCATATTCATAGTCCCCGCGACATTCGTCTTGATCGTCTTTATCGGATTATGCTTATAGTGAACGGGCGAGGCGGGGCAGGCGAGGTGGTAGATCTGGTCGACCTCGAGCAGCAGCCCCTCGACGACGTCGTGGCGGATGAGTTCGAAGCGCGGGTTGCCGAAGTGGTGCTGCACGTTCTCCTTGCGCCCCGTGAAGAAGTTGTCCACCACGATCACGTGGTCGCCGCGCTCCATCAGCCTGTCCACCAGATGACTGCCTACGAACCCGGCCCCGCCTGACACGGCATGGATGGGAGACGTGTGGAGGAGAGAGGTGGGGAATATAGAGGCCAGCGGGGAAGAGGGAGAAAGAGATAGAGAGGAGCATAAGAAGTTGTCCACCACGATCACGTTGTCGCCCCGCTCCATCAGCCTGTCCACCAGATGCGACCCCACGAAGCCAGCCCCGTCTGGTGCAATTGAGAGACGGGTGGGTAGAGAGGGGTGGAATGTAGTGACAGGGGGCAGGGGAGAGAGGAGGATAAGAGATTGTCCACCACGATCACGTGGTCGCCCCGCTCCATCAGCCTGTCCACCAGATGCGACCCCACAAAGCCCGCCCCGCCTGACGCATTGGGGAGAGGGATGGGGTGGAGTGGTGGAAAGCAGGAGGGAGGGGAGGGGGATAGAAAGTTGACCACCACACCACACTCACGTGGTCGAAAGTAGTAGAGAGGAGGGAAGAAACTGGGAAAAAATGAGCATTGGGGAAAGCTGGTGAGATATGATGTTGGAGAGGTGAGACGTTAGGGATGAGCAAGGGAAGAGAGGGAGAAGCGAGGGACGGGGGGGACGCAAGAGGCTGATTGATAGTGCAGCTTTTCCATGCGCTCAACAATCATTCCGTCCACAATCATTCCGTCCACAATCATTCCGTCCACAATCATTCCGTCCACAATCATTCCGTCAAGAATCATTCCGTCCAGAATCATTCCGTCCACAATCATTCCGTCCACAATCATTCCGTCCACAACCATTTCGTCCACAACCATTCCGTATATGATGGATAAATATGATGGATACGCGCTGCACGTGTGAAAATCCGATCCATGGAGAACGAGGTGGGGCTTCCAACCTTCGTGGACTCTCTTTCACCCATGCGATAAGCCAGTAACTAATCATCTCAATATCCACTTATTACTCTGACTCTAAGAACCGTCTTATCACTACGGCTCCGAAACCCAGGGAACAGCGCTTAAACTGTGAACGAGGGCGTTTCGACCTCGATTGCCCCACAACCATGACCGCAAGTCTCACCAGTGACGACGATTCGCAGCGGCGTGCGGCGAACCCCGAGAGGAATCTTCCCCATGAAGCGATGATCCGGCGTCTTCGGATGGTAGAGGCTCACCGCCGAGCTGATCCGGTACATCAGAGCAACGATTAACAGAGCAGCGATTAACAGAGCAGAAAAACGATGGAAAACGGCCAAGTGCCCATAAATAACAGCAACGCGAGGAGGAGGAACAGCGAGAGACGCATTAGGTCACGAGGAACCACGACCCGTCAGAGGAATTTCGACAAGAAGAACGGAATTGACACGAAAAGGAGATCTGACGATTGGGATACAATGCTCGACTAAGGCTTTGGAATATAAGAAAAGAAAATGGTAGAGCAGGAAGCTAGGGACACGCGTAAGGGATACCTAGGAAGCTAGGAGATGGAAAACGCGTCGAAAGAAAGTTCCGACTAAGCGGATGCGATAATCGATGCTAACCTCTGAACGCCAGAGAAGATCGCATGGCTGTCGCCGACGGTCGACGACCCGGTATCTAACGGCGACGGTCGCGGATAGCCAGCCGGCATGATCGTGAAGACGGCTGATGCTACGAGAAAGCCCACGAGGAGGTACGCTCCTTGGAAATGCTCGCCGAGCAGCTGGATGTACCACGGCCTGCTGCGACGACCGTGCGACTTGGACGGCGAACTGGGCGATAACGTAGGCGGTCTCCGCTCCATATTGCCGGTAATTTCCGGCACGTGGGAGTACTAAAATCGCCAAGCGACAACGACCATCGAAACCCGACGACCTAAAAAGGAGCGTCTGAGAGCCTAGACTTGTACGGCTGCCTGCAATTGCTGAATGCAATTGTGAAGAGCGAGCAGCAATTCTTGCCAGTTCAAAACAGGACTGAGGAACAAAAAGCCTCACTGACTGGTGGTGGTGGTGAGGTGACACACACATCGGAGGACTAAACCAAAGCGAGTCCCTCACCTCACTGGCCTTGGTTTGAGCAAGACGGGAGAACCTCCAGGCTCCATCCGAGGGCAGACCAGAGACGGCGAACACCGAACCGAAACCGAGCTTGTGGTCGTCTCGTTGGGAAGGAGGTGTGGTTCCGATTGGCTGGGTGTCCCTCGCCCTGGGGGCACTGCAGGTAGTTTGCCTGTTGGACACGAACGAACCTGCTCCGTGCTGGTTCCACGTGAAAATGGTTCGGTTTGGCGCACGCAGAACGATACTCGCCAGGGCAGGCGGTAACGGATTTACACAGCCAATCAGTAGCGCCCAGATGTCCGTCAACACTTAACAAACCTCGTTAGCCATGCATCGTTAAGGGCGAAAGCAGAATATACTCCGCTGTGGTACAGAGAAACAGGAAACAGGGTAGATGCCGCATAAATCTCATCAATTTCAATCAACTCCTAACATCAAGTTCGATCAATGTGACCACCTAATAGAATTTTGATGCTCATCCCACACCTTGAGAACTATAGTTACCATGCATTCACTCGTTGCTGTCCTATTGTAAGCCTTACACTACCTGCTACCACCAAACCACCTGCGTGAGGTGGAGCTACTAAGAGGAGGAGCTGCATGACTGGGAAGCTGCTGCTGTGTCACCTTAGGGGCATGCAGTGCCTTCATTGCTGCATTGCCGACAGGAGAAGGGCCCACGCATGGAACTGCACCAGTACCAGGCACACTCACTGGGGTAGTTGCCCCTCCAGGGAATCCCTGTCGTGCATTCATGGCCGATGATGATGTCAGCACTCCTCCAGGCCCCGCCTGAGCCGCTACTGCCTTACCACCGCCCCCACTCCCTCCCACGCTCGCTGCTGGTCCTCCGCCCCCTGCTCCACCCACCACTCCCACTCCACCCCTCACTGCTGTTACCCCTGCTCCTGACCCTTGTCCCACCGCATCAGTCCCCTGTGCACCACCACAACCTCCACCAGCAACACCAGCTGCACCAGCCGCACCAGCAGAAGAATCACCACAACCACCAGCAGCAGCACCACCAGAAGCAGCAGCAGCACTGGCAGCAGCAGCAGCAGCAGCAGCCTTGGCCTCCAGCTTCCTCCTAGCCACCATAGCAGCAGCGCTGCCTCTGCTGGGCCCTGCAACAAACATGCTCCCCACCGGGCCCCGGGCAGGCAGCGGGGACGCATAGCGCGACGACGTGGTGGCCTTGTCAGGGGTGCCCGTGCCGGCAGGGCTGGCAGAACCAGTAGCATTGGGGGACAGAGCAGAAGCATGCATTGGGCTGCCCGAAGGGCCGAAGGGCACGGGGGAGAGGCAGCGGTTTGGGCTGCCAATGTAGCCAGCAGGAGAAGCCATGAGTGGCCCTGCTGCTGCTGCTGCTGCTGCTAGGTGGAGTGTGGTAGGCGACAGGGGTGCGTGCAGGGCTGCGGCTGGGTCCTGAGACAAAGGGCATGGCTGCTGTGGTGTGGGGGGAGGGCGATCGGGGTGGGCTGGGGCTAGGCCCTGCCATAAACGGCTGCCGATTCTCCTGCTGCAGCCACGGGCGATTCCGGTACGGGCTCTGCTGCTGCTGCATTTGCTGCTGCTGCTGCTGCTGCTGCTGTTGCTGCTGGTGAAGTGGCACTGGCTGCACGCACTGCTGTGCATGGTAACCAGGATTCTGCAGATTGCCTGTCGCAGCAGTTTGGTTCATGCTGCCACGCATCATTCCTTGTGTCGGATGGGGAGGCGTGGATGGAGTAAGCGACACGCCACCATGCATGTAAGAGGGATGCATTCCCGCATGCGGCATCATTTGTTGTGCTGGATGTTGGGGGTTGGGCGGACATGGAGCCATGCCACCATGCCTCGGACTCACAGGAGTCTGAAACGGTGCAGTGGGGTGCGCAGGAGCAGGGGGCGTGCGGGGCACTGCAGCTGGATGGGCAGCAGCGCTGCGCGGTGCAAGAGAGGAGGAGGAGCCAACAGAGGGGCTGCGAGGTGCAGAGGGAGTGGGCCCCACAGTGGGGCTGCGAGGTGCAGAGGGAGTGGGCCCCACAGTGGGGCTGCGAGGTGCAGAGGGAGTGGGCCCCACAGTGGGGCTGCGAGGTGCAGAGGGAGTGGGCCCCACAGTGGGGCTGCGAGCAGCACCTGACAGGGAGGTCGCCAGGGGATGCATAGGGCTGGCATTGGGAGAGCCCCCCATGGCGAACTGCAGCACGTGGAAGGAGCGAGGGGAGGGTGGCGGGGAGAGAGCCGCTCCAGCAGCGGCAGCACCCATGGCAGGGAGACGGGGGCTAGTGGGTTGGGACCTGGGAGCCGGGAGAGCAGGGTTGGCAGAGAGGCCTGCCGGAGCGCGGGGGGAGAGTGGCGGGGTGGAGGTGCTGGTAGCAGCGCTGCTGGGGGCGAGTGAGTGGAGTGGGGTCTGGAGGAAGGGGTTGGAGGAGGGCGGGTGGCGGGGTGATGCGTCAGCAGGCCCAGAGGTGTATCTGGAGGCACCAGCGGCAGCAGCAGCGGCAGCAGCAGCAGGAGCAGCAGGAGCAGCAGGGAAGCCGTTGGGGTTTGTCTGATGAAATAGGTTTCTTACAAATGGCCGCGTTGTCCCTGCAGAAACCACCCCCTGCTGCTGCTGCTGCTGCTGCTGCTGCTGCTCGGCCTGCACCTGCACCTGTGCTTGTGTCCTGGCATCACCATGAGCCCCCGGCGCTGCCTTCCTCAGTGGACTCACGTTCCTCTCGCCAAACAGCGGCTGGCTGAATGGCTGATGCACGCCACTGCCACCACCCCCTGCCGCCTGCCCCTTGCTCTCTGCTACAGGCTTCTGCTGCTGCATCTGCTCCTCCCTCTCCCGCCTCCTTGCCACCCACTCTGGCCCGAACGCTAGTGTCTGCAGAAACTGCTGCTGCTGCACCATTGCAGAGTTCTGTGATTGATGCGTGGCAGACACTGAAACCTGTTTCTGCTGCTGCTGCTGTTTCTCTGGAGCCGTCTGCCTGCTCCCTGCTGCACCCACTCCTCTTCCTCCCACTCCGCCCACCCCTCCCTTCCCGAAGCTGCTACCGGAGCTGCTCCATTCCTCGCCGGTCTCCGAACCTCCCACAGCCGACTCCGCTCCATTAGACCGCCCCGCCACTGCTGCCCCCGCTGCTGCTGTCCCTCCAGCCCCCTTCGCCCCAGCAACTGATCCTCGCTTCACACCTCCTGCACCAGCACCCCCACCAGCACCACCACTACCAGCAGCTGCTGCTACTGCGGAGGCAGACGCAGAGGCAGAAGCCGAAGCAGAAACAGAAGCGCCACGCTTTGCTGCACCTGCAGCTACAGACTGCCTGCCCACTCCTACGACCTTACCGTCTTGCCTCTTCCATCCCATCCTCTGCCCTGCTACTGGACTATTGTGTGCCACACTGTCAGGTTTCCTCGCAGTGACAGTGGGTCTTCCCCCCGGGCTGTGCCTCACACTGTTGCTCACCGCCATGCTGCATGACCCACAACTCTCCTCCACCTCCGCCGCCGCTGCCTCCTGCACCCCCGCTCCTCCATCTCCAGCCTCATCTCCCATCTCTACCATACCTCCCGTTCCCACCCCGCCCTTTGTCCCGCCCACACTCCTCCTCATTGCTGCTCCTGTCACTGCACCTGTTCTTGCCGCTGTCCTTGCGGTCGCAGCCACGCCTGTGGCACCACGCTGTGCCTTGTGCTGCACAACCGGAGCAGCAGCAGGAGCAGGAGAGGCAGCTGCAGCACGGGCAGAGGGGGCAGCAGGAGGAGCAGCAGGAGCGGCAGCAGCGGGAGGTGTGGCATTCTGAGCAGCAGAGCCTAAGCCCTTTCTCGTGGAGAGCTTGAATGGCAGACGAGGCATGGCAGGGAATGGCGCAGCAAGGGGGGTCTGCCTCTCCCTCACACCTGGCTGCGCCTGCACTGGTTGCATGAGAGATGTGCCTGAGGGGCCTCCTGTATGACCACCTGTGGGAGCACCTGAGAGGGCACCTGAGGGGGCACCTGAGGGGGCACCTGAGGGGCCACCTGCGGGAGAGGGAGGAGTGCGGTGCAGTGCAGTGTGAGGGCGAGCGTGAGCACCCACGTGGGCGGGTTTGCTCTCCACGTGGTTGGCGCTGCTGTTGCCTCGGCTGTTTCTGCCCTCCATACGCGCTCCTCTACTGCCCATGGCAGTCCCCACCACACTGCTCACTTGCCAGTGCTGCCCTGCCACGCTGTTACACGATGCCATGCTGCCGCCAGCTGCCACGCTGCCACCTGCTGCCACGCCAGTGGTACCCATCGCGTTTCCCTCGGTGGGATGAGCCATGCGGTGGTTGGCAACGGTTGGATCATCATCGTCAACAGCAGCAGCTGTGCTTCCATCGGCCTTGACAGCTGCAGCTTCTTCCACAGGGACCAGGTCAGCAACCGTGGTGTCCGATACAATACCAGTAGCTGCGATAGCAGAACCGGCACCACCGCTGGCACCAGCAGTAGCAGCACTGGGAGTGGCAGTACCGGTGCTCTGACTGGCTTCTTGCGTGGAGTGGAACATGCCACCAGAGGCAGGCGTGCCACCGCACTCCTCTTGTACTGAAGAGTCTGAGCTCGTGTCTGCATCACCACTGCACCCACTCACCACAGTTTTTTCTCCCTCTTCCCCCTGCTTATCATTCTCCTGCCTCTCCTGCCTTTCCTCTGCCTGATTCTCCTCCTCCTGCTTCTCCTGCTTCTCCTCCTGCTCCTGCCTGTCCACATCCACTCCGCCTGCGCCATGACTGCTGCTGCTCCTACCATTTCTGCTCCCCATTCCATCTCCACCCGCCCCCTCCCCCGCACCCACACCTTCCGCACCTTCCCCCCCAGCCACGCCATCCGCCCTCTCCACAGCCGCCAGCGCGGCGGCTGCGAGCTGGGCGGCCTGGGCGCGCTCTAGGCTGCGGCGAGGTGACTGCTGAGTCGCCTCACAAGCCAGGCTCTCCAATGCAGCCACGCCATCGGTCTTCTCCACCGCTGATAGCGCTGCGTTGGCGAGCTGAGCCGCCTGGGCGCGCTCCAGGCTGCAGCGGAGGGAGCTTTTCAGCCAGGGGCGGTCAGGCAGCGGGATGGTGGGGGACGCGGGGCGGCTGTGATGCGCGGATGCGGGGGAGGACGGGCGGCTGTGATGCGCGGAGGTGGGGGAAGAGGGGCGGCTGAGATGCGCAGAGAAAGCAGTGGGGGAGGAGGGATGGGAGGAGTAGGGGCCAGGGGCGGACGGGCGCGTTGGGTCGTTGGGGGAAGGAGGGCGGACGGGGAAGGAGGAGGGGGAGGCTGGGCGGTTGATCATAAGGGAGGTTAGGAGGGCGGGGGAGGAGGCAGAGGGAACAAGGCGGCGCACAGAGGGGCGGAAGGGGTTAATTTCACCTGCTGCGTCTGTATTGACAGTGGCAGTGACAGGGCTAGGGGCAGTGCCAGTGGCAGCATTGGCGTTTTCAGCCGCGACAACAGCAGCAGCAGCAGCAACGACTGCGGTAGCAGCAGCTGCAGAGGAGGCGGGGAGGGCAGGAGCAGTGAGGAGGGGGTTATCAAGCAGGCTGAGTGACGGACTGGCAGTGAACGGCCGAATCACATGCCTCCTTGACCCAACAGCCGTCAACCTGCTACTGCTGCTGTTGCCTGGCTGGTTGCTACCTGGCTGGCTGCTACCAAAGCCCACAGCCCCAGAGGCAGTACCCCAGGCGCTGATGTCCTCAAACACGTCCTCTCCCTGTCGCCTTCCTCTCCCCTCCTCCTGCTCCTGACTTGCGGGGTCGATTCCAAGGGCGGCTTCCCATGCGAGCGCTGCTGCTGCCGCCTCTTTGCCTCCCTCGCCCGTCCCTTGTGAGCCGTGCAGTGCGAGGGCCACACTGGCACCAACCTCACGCACAGCCTCGCTCTCGCACTCCTCCTGCATGCCTTCGCACTGCATGCCCTCGCTCTCCTCAGTCACCTCGTCCGAACTCGCAGGTTCGTCCCCGCCTGCACCTCCGCTTCTCACTTCCTCCTCCTTCTCTTCCTCCTCTTCGTCCTCCTCCTCTTCTTCCTCCTTCTCTTCCTCCTCGTCCTCCTCCTCCTCCTCCTCCTCCTCTTCTTCCTCCTCCTCTTCCTCAAATGCAGTCACCGCCTTCTCATCTGCGCTTCCATCCTCGCCCTGTGCATCAGCTTCACAATCCGATCCTTTACCTTCCTCTTCCCCACTCTGCCTTTCCGCATTCTCAGCTCTTCCCCTCTCCTCCATCTCGCCTCTTCGCTCCTCATCCGCTCCTGCTCCCAGGTTCAACCCCTCTGCACCGCTGCTCACCTCGCCCCACCGTGCACCCTCATCTGCAACATCCTCTCTCCCACCAACCTCATTAGTAGCACCTCCGCTAATAGCACATCTCGCTATCAAATCTCCCTCAGAGCACCCACTTTGGCCACCAGGCGTCAAGGCACCGCCTTGTCGCTGCAAGATTTTGCCGTCACCAGCCTCCCACGGAACCTCTTCCTGCTTCGCCTCAGTAACCGCCTTTCTGCACGAGCCTGCTACAGCCACAGCAGACGTGACCTCATCTGTTGCTACTGCTGCTGATGCTGCTGCTGCTGCTGCTGTTGCTGCTGTTAGTTTCCCTCCCGCGCCGGCACTAGGGAGGGCGGAGGGGAGAGGGCGAGGAGGGGAGAGGAGGGACGAGCAGAAGGAGGAGATGGCAGCTGGCGTTGAGTGGAGCGCGTAGGGGGGAATGGATAGTGGCGGAGAAGCGAACACAGTGCCACGCGCACCAGCGCTCTCATCATCGCTTTCACTCTCCTCCTCCCTCTCCACCGCTCCCTTCGCCCTGTCCCACTCTCGGCCAGCCCCCACTCCCTCCCCTCCCACCATCTCGATAAACACACGCTCCGCCTCATCCTCGTTCTCATCCTCGTTTTCGCCCCCATCCTCCATATCTGCCTCCTCGTTAATGGGGTGCTGCATCCCATCACTGTCACCTGCTGCTCTGCTGCCAGTTATATAAACAAGCTCCCCTCCCTCCACCCTATCCTCCTCCTCTACATCCATCCGTTTCTCCTTCTCCCTCTCCTCCCCTCCCTCACCTCTCTCGTTCACTTCCACTTCCCCCCATCCAGCCCAGTCAAATGCTCCCTCTTCCCCCTCCTCCCCGGTCATCCCAGACCCGTTGCTCATCTCCTCTTCACTGCTCATCTCCTCTTCACTGCTCCCACCCTCACTCCTGCTCTCTCCGTTCGCCTCCCCAGGACCGTACCTCTCGTTACAGTCACGGTTCTGTACAGCCACACCAGAAGCATCCGAGAGGCTGCTGCCTCCACTGTCTATCGCCTTCTCTTCTGTCGCTGGCACCTCCACTGACGGCGCAGATTTAACAGACGGTCTACAGTCAACTGATGGTCCAGATTTGGCAGACGGTCGAGATTCAGTTGACGGCCGAGATTCAGCTGACGCTGTCGCTTTGACTGAAGGATCAGCTCCAACTAACGGTTCAGATTCAGCAGACGGCCGAGATTCAGCTGACGCTGTGGACTCAGCTGACCACATCGAGCCAGTTGACGGCCCAGATTCATCCGACGGCCGAGATTCGACGGACTGGCAGCACTCCTCAAGATCGATCACATGGGTGGCACTGGCAAGCCCTGTTCCTGTCCCTGTCCCTGTCCCTTGGCTGGAACATGAGGCTGCGCGAGCGATGGAGTTTGAGAGAGCTGTGGTGGCGGCAGATGGCGCGGCAGAGGAGTGATGGGGCTCGGGCATAGACGTGGATGGCGATGCTTGTGGCGCTGGTGGCGATGGTGGTGATGGTGGTAGCACTGATACAGGAGCAAGAGTGGGCGTCTGTAAAGGCACTGACGAAGCAGTCATTAGAGCACTGGCAGCGGCAGGCGCACTGGCAGCAGCAGGCGCACTGGCAGCAGCAGCAGCAGAGAACGGAGGAGGGTAGGCACAAGCAACACCAGCAGGGGAAGCAGCACCAGCCGCAGCACCAGCAGCAGCACCAGCAACAGTACTGCACAAACCAGCGCCAGCTGCAGCAACCGCAGCAGTAACCGCAACAGCAGCATTGCTGGATGGCGGAGGAGTGAGGGGGCGGGAGGCAGTGAGGAAGCGAGTGGGCTTGCGAACCCGCGGAGATAGGCGTCGCTTGATGGAGGAGAGGTTACTGTGCAGGGAGGGCACGGCGGGCAGCTGCATGGGCGGCTGCAGGTGGTGATACTCGTGCTGCTGCGCCCACTCCGCCACCACCATGCCGCCCTGCTGCTGCTGCCCGCCCGGCTGCCTAAATGGGGCGGCATCGTTCGGTTGTTTGTGAAGGGCAGTCTGGGGAGTTTCCAGCAGGGTGTGGTGGTGCGGAGTGGGTTGGGGCGTTTCTTGCGTGGCCTCGTGTGAGGGGGCCGGTGAGGGCGAGGGGACGGAGGGCGAGAGAACGGAGAGCGGAGGTGTGGAGGGAGCAGGCAAGGCGGTTGGATCATGAAGCAGGGGTGCATGCGGTTCAAACTCCCCTTCCGAGTAGGGATGGGGCAGGGACTCTCTTCTCTCCGCGCTCTCATCCGCTTCCTCGCCATGCATCCCTTCTGCATCGCCACCCCCATCCCCCTCGCCTCCCCATTCCTCCTCTCCCTTCCCCTCCTCCTGCTCCTCCTCCCCCTCCTCCTCTTCCTCCTCCTCCAGTACCAGCCATCTCAAGCGCAAGCTTCCCCCGCCCGCACTCCCCTCCATCTCCTTTCCTTCCGCCGCGCCACTCCCCCCCCATGGCGCGCGCCCCCCTCCCTCATTCTCCGCGGGCGCACTATCACCCCACCGCCTCCTGCTCCTCCTCCCGCTGCCACCCTCGTCATAACTCGCCTCGATCGCGGCAGGATCCGCCACGTCAGCACCGGCCACGTCAACATCCAGCTTCCCAGACTCCAGCTCATCTTCCCCGAAACCTCTCTCCGCGCCACCCGCTTCCCCCACTTCCCCTGCGCCCCCCGAATCCATTCCTCCGCCCATCCCCCTACCATCCGCAGCGGCGGAACCGCTTTCCGCCGGCCCAGCGGGATCCAGGCGGCGGGGGCTGCCTACGGCGGGGACGACGCTGGAACGGGAATTGCTCGCGCGGCTGTCGCTCGTGCGAGTGTCGCTGGTGGGCGAGTCGCCGGAATCGTCGCCGGACGAGCTGGAGTTAATCATGGCGATCGAATCAGCGGGCGTGGAGTGCGCGAGCGAGTCGCTCGACGAACCAGACGGGGAGGACGACGCGGGGGGGACGCCAGACGGCGGAACGGACAGGGGAGCGCCGCCCCGCGCGGTCGCGTCCGCGCGCCCTTCCGCCTTGGCGCTCTGCGCTTTCGCGGCGAGGGACTCGGTTCGAATGGCTGTTGCGGAGGCTGCTTCTGCGGCAGAATCTGGGGCAGCAGCCGCATCGGCAGTAGCATGGGCAGTAGCATCGGCTTGAAGCGCAGCTTCGTCCTGTTCGTACTCGCGATTCGTCTTCCCAGCTCGCGCGCCGGCCCTGCCCGTGAGCTGCGACCGACCGCTCATGGCCACGAGCGACTCGAGATCCACCGGCGCGTCGCTCTTATCCGCTACCTCATCCGCATCACTGTGATCCTCGTCCTCGCTATCATACTCTTCGTTGTCATGCACGTGCTCCTCGTCGCGCTCGTGCTCGCTGTCCCCGTCCCCGTTACAGCGCTCATCGACACTGTCACACCTGTCACGGTCATCAACACCCTTCGCCGCACTCCCGCCCTGCCTCATCCCATCACCACCCACAGCCTCCCCCGTCTCCTTCCCTTCTGCAGAACCACCACCCTCCATCTCCCCCGACCACCCCATTTCTCCCGACGGCCGCTCCTCTCCCGGCCGGTTAACCTGCACAGGGCTCGCCGCGTGGCCGGCGGGTTTCTCGGCGCCGTCCATGTCTCGCAGGAATGCCGCCAGAATCCGTCTCTTCGACTCCTCCACCTCCGGCCCCATCCGCTCTCTAGGCTTCCTCTCCGCCTTGCACCACCCGCTCACGCCCTGCGCGCCCTTGTCATTCGTGATCAAGTCACCTGCTGCCACGTGACCTTTGCCTTCCCCTGCCACGTGTCCGCCTTTAGACACGTGTCCTATGCGCCTCTCTTCCACGTGTTCGTCGCATTCGGCCGCCAAGTGTCCCCTCACCTCCTGAGCCACCTCCTCTGACCCTTCGCTCGCCGCACTACCGCCGAAATGAATCGAGCTGGCATACGTACCAGCAACCTCGCTATAAGCACGCGCCACCGCCTCTCTAACAGACGGATCAGTCGTGCGAGTGTACGGTACGGATGGATGTGCGCAGTGGGTGGTTACCGTCCTGTGCTGATTTTGTAACTGATGATGTCCCTGATGCTGCTGCTGCTGGTGCGGGTGCTGGTGCTGCTGGTGCTGCGACTGCTTCTGTGGCGTCTGCGCGTTCTCGTGTCGTCGCGCAGGGCTGCAGCGCCGAATTAGCCCTCCGAAAAGCCGAGAAGCGCGCGATTTCTCCTGCGGCTGGTTCGAAATCTGGCGCTGGTTCCAAAGCTCGTTCCGAGGCTCGGCGTTGCGCTCGTTGTCGATGGATCGGTCATTGTCGCAGAGAGAAGGTCTGCTGCTGACCAAAGAGGAATACCGAGACATGAGAAAGAGCAATCGGATGGTGAGGGGAAGACGGGAAGGCGAACCGAACGCTGGACAAACGAAGAAGGGACGGCAATGGGGGAAGGAGGAAATGAAGTGCATGGACCGGAGGAATTAATCGCTGCTGCGGACGTGGGAAAATCAGAAACGGAACGGGTGGGGAGCTGAAGGGAATGACAAAGGCCAACCTTGGTGCGGGGCCCTGAGCAGCTGAGGCGTGGAGGCGAGCCCTGATTCTCGCGACCAGCATCGACGTCTGCACATGGCCGTACGATGCGGGGAGAATAGAAAAGGGTTGGAGGGGGTGAGACGAAGAGACGAGGAGTGGAGGATGCGTGAAAAGGAGGGGGAAACTGGAGGACGGGAATGATAACAGGTCGAGGAAATGATTTCCCAAAAGCAGATTTTTGCAGTATGTGAACAGAAGTAACCCGATCAGTGACAGCGCAAATAAACGCCACGTGGACAGCACGGCGGGTACAGAGCGCGCAGAACAATTGAGAGCGCGTAGAAGAAATAGCAGCAGCCGTGTGTTAATCAACAGGTCGACCACCCACCGTGGCTGCTCGGCTGCTGACGCCGAGTTGGCGGCACAGCCGCTTGATCTCCTCGCGAGGTTTGTCCTCTAGATTATCCTGAAAGGCCGCTGTCGAGGCCGCGTCCATGGCCGCATAAATTAGTTCTGGACTACAGGGCCGATTTATCTGGTGTATATCTATGAATGACTTGCTCGTGATCACGGCCCTAATACGTTATTTGATGGGTCGACGAAATCATCAACGTTGCGTTGATTCAAATGCTGGCATGAGTTCAGATTCGCCGACATCTGTCACAGCAGTGTCGTTCTGAGGTACGCGCATCGGCCAAATCGGATCGGCCAGTAACTATGACCGCACGACGACTCGCTGCATAGTAGGCATGCGAATGACTAAAAAGTACAATGCGGGGAAGCTGATCAGTGTGACACTGTGACAACTGCTTCGCAACAACATCCCCAGTGCTCGGGTGCCATGAGAGAGACACTGAAGGGGAGAAAGAATGGTCAGCTCAGCACACGCATGCACTGGTCATGGGGTTATGCTAGTGGAAGAAGCCGCTACCAGACAGAACTCCAGAACAGCTGTTGTACTGGTGGTGGGTGTTCCATAGCATTCGCTTCCTGTGCTGTCCCGTCCCATTTCCTGCTGATGATGTTTGTCCCAGCTGCTGCAGGTGGTTCCAACCCAAGGAGCATCGGATGCAAAGCAGGCGCCAGGCGCGCAAAGCGCATGAGGAATGCAGAGGATCCTTCCCTTCTCGCCCCGCCAAACATCTCTGGTCAAAATTGACAAACTTGGTAACATCGTGGCCGTTGATTGAGTGTTCGGGCTTCTACATCTTGTGGTAGAATGTGCGGGAAACTCCCTTGGTTGTGTCGTCAGAGGGCCTCGCTTCGGTCGCAAATCGTCAGAGCTCCGTTCGCGAACCGCGCGTTCTGGTGTCCCGCCAATGGCGTTCAAGCAACACCTCCCTTTGAAAAGTACTCATTAGGGCGTGTTACATTTTTTATTTAACCGTTTTGTCCAGACGATGGTCAGCGGACCGTACTAAATACACGTACGGACGGGTTCGGGCATCGCGTCCGGACGGAGGCTAGTCCGGGCAGGGTTCTGGAACATTTTTCCTTCACGAAATCGAGAACAGTGTTTTAGTGTAACACAGGATACTAGTTACTGAGGTTCGCTTAGTGGAAAAATGCGTCGCGCGACTTCGGATTGGGTAAATGTATTCTCGTTAACATCACTCGTTGGCCAATCAAATGATGGTTTGGTTGCACTGCCCGGAAGATGGACGGGAGTCGTTCGGACGGTTATGTACAAGAAAAATGTAAAATGTTTCATCTATGGTACGTACAGCTGCGACGTCGCATGGTTGCAAGCGAAAAGTTTCGCATTATCTGACGAAAATGGTTACCCTACAAATGTCCGGACCGCCCACGGTACGGACCATGGAAGTGTAAAAATGTAACACGCCCTTATCTCACTTGCAAAATTCAACATTTCTTCTAGGGAAAGCATGAATCTATATGCTAAAGGTGTGAATAAATTGTATGCTTGAATGCGTTTCCTTAGCATTTGTCGGCACACACAGCCATAATCGCAGGCGCCGAGCTTTTCTTTGCGCGCGAACCTAGATAAAAGTGCTGAGGTAGGTGTATTTCAGCGTGTGCCTCACGAATATACAACAACGTTCAGGTCGTTCGATTCTTTCCCTACGCCTACAGGGATGCATGCGCTTCCTTGGCATTTGTCGGCAGACACTGCCGTCATCCCAGGCGCCAAACGTTTATGTGTGCGCGAACAAAGCTAAAAGTGCTCAGATAGGTGTATTTGAGCATGGGCCACCCGAATATGCAACAACATTCAAGCCGTTCAATGTTTTTCCCTACGCCTATAGGGATGCATGTGCTTCCTTAGCATTTGTCGGCAGACACTACCGTCATCGCAGGCGCCGAACTTTTCTGTGCGCACGAACCAAGCTGAAAGTACTTAGATAGGTGTATCTGAGCATGGGCCACCTGAATATGCAACAACTTGCAGGTCGTTCGATGCTTTTCTCTATGCCTATAGGGATGCATATGTTAGAATCACTAGGCAAGAATGGATGAACTAGCAGAAGTTTGGGTACAAATAACAAACCCTAGTTGGGGTTGTACCCCATATTGGCTACCCCACTACAGCCTACAAGCATAATACAGTTTAACACACCCCCATAGGCAAAGTGGGGGAGAACAAAGGGTCACAAGACCAGTCCAGCAAAGCAAAGCAAAGCCCAGGGTGGATCACAACGTCACCACACTCCGAGCACAAGTAAAGGCCACAAGGCCAGTTCACATGCAGTGCTAGATATAGTACAAGACAAGCAACACAGTGATCAAAACCTAGCAAGCAAGCAACAAGATATATATAAAGTACAGTACAAAGAATGTCAAGCAGTGAGCAAGTGAGGAAACGTGGACACAAGGCCTAAAGAAGTACAGTGCCGCTGATGATCACTAGGCGGGAGCGCCTTGGTGAAGATATCAGCAGTGTTGGCCTTCGAGTCCACGTACACAAGCCGAAGCTGACCGCGCTGCTGAAGCTCTCGAGCAAGAAAGTAGCGAAGAGCAATGTGCTTCGTCCTGTGCTCCAGTCTGTGCTCCTAACACAAGGCAAGAGCCGCCTTGTTGTCACCGTACAGAACTGGAGGAGAACTAGGCCGCTCTCCCAAGTCAGTCAGCAGGTAGGTGAGCCAGCGTAACTCCTGTGCAGCCATGGCTGTGGCGTAGATCTCAGCCTCACAACTAGAGCCGAGAACAGAGGAAGAGCGGGTGGACCGCCACGAGACAGAACCAGAGCCAAGGCTGAAGGTGTAACCCTGTGACGACCGCTGCGTAGCCAGGTCGTCCACCCAAGAAGCGTCCGAGTGACCAGTGAGGACAACTCTGTCGCGTCCTCCAAGCACCAGCCCCATGCCTGATGTACTGCACAAGTAACGCAGCACCCTCTTAGCAGCCTCCCAGTGCTCTCGCCTGTGTCTCCCAGGCGCAACGTAACGAGCAAGGATGCTAAGAGGGTACGCGAGGTCAGGGCGCGTGCAAGTCATCAGGTACATGAGGCAGCCTACAAGCTCTGGGTACGGGCCACTTGGCTCTACGGACTCGTCCGAAGGTGGAGCTGAGAGCGAGTGGCTGGTAGCCAGAGGTGTGGCCTGTGGTGAGGAGAACTGGAAGCCGAAGCGCTGAAGGACCTGCTGCACCATGTGTGACTGAGTCAGGGTGATGGTGCGGCGAGCTCTGTCCCGGGTGATCTGCAAGCCAAGGTAGCTACGCAGTTCACCCAGGTCAGTGCAGGTGTGTCTCTTCTGCAGCTCCGACTTCACACGAGCGAGTGCCTCAGTGTCAGCAGTAGCAAAGACCAAGTCGTCGACGTACACGAGAATGTAGAACGGCGGCAGCGACGTGTCTGTGCGCAGAAACAGCGACGGGTCAGCAGTAGACGGCGCGAACCCAAGAGCCGCAAGTGTAGTCCTCAGTGTGTCGTGCCACTCACGTGGTGCCTGGCGGAGACCGTAGACTGGCCGGCGGAGACTCCACTGGGTACCAGGGGGAAACGACCCAGTAAAGCCAGGTGGGCGGCGCAGCCAGATCTCCTCGTGCAGGCTGCCCTGCAGGAACGCTGTGCTGAAGTCAAGAGAGTGAAGCTCGTAGTCACGCTGAGCAGCAACGTGCAGCAGAACCCGAAGAGTGGTCATCTTCGGGATGGGGGAGAAGGTCTGGAAGAAGTCGACCCCCTGACGCTGACTGAAGCCTCTAGCAACGTAACGAGCCTTGAAGACAGGCGGAGAACCTGGCGGCCGCTTCACCCTGAAAATCCACATGCCATCGACGATGTTCGCCCCAGGAGGGGGAACCTCGTCGACGTAGGTGCCTGTGGACTTCCAGGATGCCATCTCTGCGTCCATGGCTGTCTGCCACTGAGAGGAGTAGGGACCCGAGATCGCCTCTGCGTAAGTGCGCGGAGTGGGGATGTCTAGTGCATCCGGGTCTCCCTCAGGGGCAAGCAACCAGGCCACGAGATGAGGTACAGCAGCCGCAAGAGAGTCAAAGTCCTCCTGCCTGTCCTCAAGGACGTCCGTGCCAAGAGCACACTCACCCCCGACGGACGGAGGACAGACAGACGCAGACGCAGGCTCAGCAACAAGGCTAGCAGCGTAGTCTAGACGACAGGCAGCAGCAAAGGCAACCAACTCAGCGACCAGAGCAGACGCAGCCGAGGACTCAAAGGTAGGGTCAGTGACAACAGTAGCTAGGAGACGCGTGACTGTAGGGTGCTCAGCGCGATACCGGTCAGACTCAGGGTCCGGAATGGCAGGCAAAGAGGACGCAGGAGGAGACGGTAGAGGGACACGCCGAGGAGCAGTAGAGGGACGCAGAGTCATGTAGTGAGTGCCTGGGACAGGAGGAGGACGCTCACGACGGACACGACTACCAGTGCGAGCAGGACGAACAGGCGACGCAGGATGAGACTCAGGCTCACGACGCTCCGTAAGACCTCCTGTGGGACCAGTGTAAGGAGAGGGAGCAGGGAGAGGCGAGGCAGGCGGTAACTGTGACTGCGGCTGGACAGGCGGAGGACACTCTACGGAGGGAGGAGGACAAGGAGGAGGAGCCTGCCCAAGAACCTGCTGAAGGAGCGGAACGAAGTACGGTCGCGGCCGCGCAGCGGCTCCAGAAGCAGAAGAGA